ACATCTGCTCCATTGACGTATGTATTACATGAAGGGTTTTCAACTACTGGTTATTACATACGAGTATTGTGTGTGTGGCATATACTCGTACGTACGTCCCACCTATGTGGGATATCCACGCCTCATTTCCAAGTGCCATTTCCGCGGGCTTCCATTTGTCGATAAATGTTCATTACTTTCAATTAACGCTTCTTAATTGAACATGACGTATTTATGAGTTTGACATCGTGGGCCAATCGGGAGTGGCAGGGTGTGGGCAATGGCAGTCGCAATTGCACATTCCAGTGCAGTGCAGTGCAGTGCAGTGCGGCTCTTAATTGCTACCAAAGCCGAGTATCACGAGGGAGCCACAAAATGTGGCGGAATGTAGCGGAAATCGCGTGTATTCCCCCGCCTCGAAAGTTAGGCACTATCTCTAGCTGGGCAATAATAGCACAAACACATGCAGAAAGAGGAGAGGCGACGACACTGCTTTGGTAATATGTACATATTGGAACCCCATCATCATTAATTGTTTATGAACGACAAAAAGTGCAGTGCGGTGCGCCCGTAAACAAAAGGCAAAAACGAAACGAAACGAAACGAAAGTGCAGAACGAACGCCATGAATCATATTTTGCCAATTAAGCATGATCCGATGTAAGCGGCATCGGCATAGCCCCCAGCCCATGCCCTCCGGCCATGCCCCTGGCCCAAGTTCCAAGCCAAATCGTAAGCACTAGCTAGCATAAGCAAAAGCCATTGAAGGCATTCTTACACCACGCCGGAAATCCAATGTAGACAGCATTGGCGACTGGGGCGTCGACAACGGTTCGCGGCACAGTCCGCCCCGCACGGACGGACGGGTGGCCGGGTGGACGGATGGACGGGTGGACAGATGGACGGACCGACCGGATGGGCTATTGGGACCACCAAAGAGCAACAAAAATGTGCACACTTTCGACTGCATTGCACTGCCCTGCACTGGCCGAGCCGAGCCGAGCCGAGTTGGGGGGAAATTAAATGCAAACGCTGCACTCCAGAGCCACCAGAGTCTCTCCACGATTACATTTGCTTTTGTAAATGCGATCGCTGATCATATTTCAGTCGCTGCTCCGTCCGATCTCCGACATGGGGCAGGGGCCCACGATGTGTGTATTTGCCGATTGGTCATGTGGGGTCCAATCGACCCCCCAAGAACATTCATTTGATCACATATTTGAATCCGATTTGCATGCAAAAGGCCTTTGTAATGTAATCACGAGAAATTAATTCGCGCCTTTGAAGGTCGTGATCACAGAAACAAGACTGAAGCCAAAGCCAAAGCCAAGACAAGCCACTTTTAGTGGGGAAATAGTTCGACAGTGGCAGACAACAGACCTCTAGACTAATTCGGAACTAATGGGATTACGGCGGGGACTCGACTTTAACAATATACAAATTAATTCAAAAGTTCTTGTGTCTTTTTTTGTAACTTCACAACAGTTTTCGTCTGCGTCAACGGAATCGGAATGGAACAACCAAAAAACTAAAGCAAAACCCATTTAATAAGTAAATGAAAACTGCATTTCATTTTGAATGAAGTTTCAGCGCTAAACAATGTCAGCAAAGTTAATTGATGAACCAACGAACGATCGATCGACCAGTCACAAGAAATACATTAAGTACAAGCTGAGAAATATATTGCTGAGATCGGGGTTTAACTAGAGTAGAGAAAATCAACGAAAATTGGTAGAGGAATTACAATAGTGGCCGTCTTTTGGCGGCTTTTAAATATTGGATACTTCAGTTAATTAAATTAAATAAATGCACGATAAAATCAGCCAAGGTGCCAAGGAAATTAAATTTATCTTCTTATGCATTCATATTTTACCCTCAAATACAAAGGCCAGTCAGAGGCGCCAGCTTATCGGCCCTGGGTGGCGGTTAGTCAAACGAAAGGCCAGTCCCCAATCCCTCCCAATTAACAGTTAGTGTTCAAAGTGCAGAAAGTTGAACGAGCATTGGGGAGGTGTGTATGTGGGTTTGGAGTGCACAAGCTCAGATATTGGCTCTTGCCAGGTGGAAATTAATTGCCAGCCGCATGGACATGACACGGTAGATCACGAGACCGAAAAATAAAATCGAACTATTAATCGGCGCACAAGAGTGACAAACATCTATTAGGCATTTAATTAAAAGTTTCGCACTGAACAATGGTTTGGCAGAAGTAGGAGTTGTAGCAGGTAGTGGGGGTATTGTTTCCATTGATTGCCACTGAAGCAGAGCAATAGAATCCACTTCTTGTTGTCCGATACTTGGACAAAGTGTCAAATTCGTGCATTTCAAGTTTGCCGCCGCCCTCTCAGATAGATAGCAGCGGGGCGGCAAAGAGCAAACACAAATATTTGCCTACAATTACTTACCGGACCAGACCAGATAGAGATACGTAGGCCCTCTGGCCCAGTGGATGCGACAATTGTCTCGGCATATGCTCGTGTGTGTATGTACATAATTGGGCTATCAGCTAGATAGATGGCCAAAAGAGGCGGAGATGGGGCGCAGTACGGCAATTAAAATTTCGATGCGGAAGATACGCCACACGGTCCGATCGAGCATGAAGTGGTTGTGGCGACAGGCTGTCCGATCACCCACACCCACCACGTACAGACAAGCCCAGCCCCAGCCCCAGCCCCAGCCCCATGGCCCTTCTTCTTGGGCTGTAAAGTGTATGTGGAAAGAGTACGTGGTATGTGTGTGGCATGTGGGACTGGCGCTGGCGTATCAACGTTAATTGGTGTTGAAAGAGCGTCTCTGCTATTAGCCATCAGCAAGAATCCCCAAAGTTCTCTCAGAGACTCTACAACGAAATTGCAACACCTGTCGTCTGGTCGGCTGGTCTGGTCTGGTCTGGTCTGGTCTCTGGACTGGTGCCGATGCGGAAAGTCAGTGACTATGTAATACACTGTGTTTTGGTCAGCCTAACCGCACAGACTACACTCATCCGATTAAACTTTTAAATAGATGTCAAACAAACTACATTCTGCTAGAAACAAGGACTTTCCTTGTCACCGTTGGTTGTCCCATCCAGGTCGATGTCGATGCCGATGTCGATGTCGTTGTCGATGTCTTAGGCCTGCATATATTCGCACTCGGATGTCCCTCGGGTCGGCGGACACTCCTGTACACATACTGGTGTGTGTGTATACGTCGGTCATTCGAGCATTCAACCACCGTTGGACAGGGTTCATGACGGACAAATGTCCGAAATTTGAAACTTTAAATAAGAGTCTTTGGTAGGTAGGTTGCCTGTGTTTCCGGGCGGGCGGGTAGAATGTGGATGTGGACAAGCAAGGTGTCTATTAGACATACTCTCTGTAACATTCAGCGGTTGGGCGGAGCTTTGATGGGTAGAGCTTCGAAATTAGTTCTGATTTACCATTGTTTCTACGGCCTGTGACATCGGTGTGACAACGGATGGGGGTTACCGTTACCGTTCCCGTTCCCACTTTCACTCCCGTTCTCGGTCACATTCTCGTGTCGTGGGTCTGTGGGCGTATCGTGTAAACATTAGAGAGGACCGGACCGCAACTGCTGTTAGCGTATAGAACATGCTGGGAAAACTACAGCTCATAGTCGGAGAGTAGTCCCATTAATTTGTTATGAGGCGTCATTAGAGCAAAGAAATTAAGCTGGGTTCAGGCAGCGATGGTTGAAGCGCTTAAAAATTCGGACTATTAGAGAACAATGTGGAATTTTAATGGTTTATATATATATGTACATATGTGAGTGATGGTGGAACCATAGGTACGAGTATTACGAGTGTAATCTTGGTCAGGGTATAGCACACAATAACAGATACACAAATCTAATGTTAAGCAGCCTTTACAACCATCTTGGTAGTTATATTAAATCCACATAAAACAAACATGATTCATTGGTGCATCTTAAACAATTTTCTATCTATTCTCTTTCAAGGCAAACCTTAGGCTTTGAAAGGTATTTTTGTAAACTCTCATCATTGGGGGTTGAAAATCTTTTTGCGAATCCCATTTGACTGCTTTCAATAGAAATGCTGACAATATTTTGGTTACTATGAAATTGAAACATATCGATGGGAAATATTTATTTTTCCGAGTGCTGAAATCTCTCTCTACACGAAGAGTTTCTTTTCAGTAATTTTTGTCCTTCGAACCAACATACAGTTCGTGAGACAAATTTGCAACTTACTGTACATAAAACAAATTTTAAAGAGCGCACGAACCTAATGCAATATTTTCATATTTAAAGTTTTTTTTGGGGCTATTTTAAATGGCGTCAAGAGTGTTACTGGTATTCGGGAAGCGGGTGATTAATTCTATATGACAAGAGTATTGATAAAATAGGGGTTGCAGGGTTTAACATAGAAGGTAGCAAAATGGTATATTCTAAGTGGTTGTAGTTGCAGAAATAAATAGCGGATTAAATAAATAAATAAATAAATAACAACTATCCTATCTGACACACTGCTTTTTCCCCGTTTCATACATTTTATAGCTTCCATTCCTCTGTACATTATCTCAGAACATATTTCACTTGGGTTTGCTGTACTCTGCTCCAAATTTAGAAATTCTGTCCTCTTTCAATGACAGCATTTCTTGATGAAAATTAATTATACAGCATCAAAGTGCGCCACACAACAAATTTGTTACAATGTGAAATCAAACAATTGGATTCTATGTTTAGAATGTGAGTTCTGTGCTTTTCGTTCTTAGATATTTTTTGTACTTCCTTGATATTTATGTAACATTTTATCCTTTTTTATATACTTGAATTTAAACAAAGGAAATCTCTTGAAATCTGCCAGATGCCAAAAAATAAATGTGGTACAATGTTTTTGGGTAACAAATATTTAAAAAAACCATCAAAAACTTTATCCATCGTTTCAATTTAGTCTTAGACTAAATCCCTGTAATCTTACATGTTAAATATTTTCATGGCGCTTAATATTATCGTCCCGCCACCTTTCAAGTGTCATTTAATATCTGTTTAGCAAAAGCAGGTTAAAGGTTATTGTCTATATACAATTTTGTGATTGATTTCCAATGTTCGACCAGGATCAAGGCTGTACAATAAACGAATCTATTCGAAGAGAGCAGGAGACAAATATCAAAGTTAAAGTTTTGCACAGCACAGATTTTTTGTTGTTGAAGTAAAATCACATAAAACCTGTATTGTGGTTGTTGCGCTGAGGGGAAAGAGAGGCACGGTGCGAGAGTAGGGCTGACTCGCTCACACCACTGGCGCGCAGGCGGCAGATAAATGCGCAGCCATTTTTGACTCGAGCGAGTAGAAGGCAAAGGCCACACCTCTGACAGGGGAAAATAGTGGGAAATTTGAGCGAGTGCGATTAGCCAGCCAAGCAGCAGCAAGAGCAGCAGCAGCTGGCTTTTCGTGGAGAGGAAAATTCTGCGCGCTGCCTACACATTTGGCCAGGAAATTTCCCAGCAACATGCAACGGCCAAAGTTTCAGCTGGCGAAACGAAACGAATCGAAACGAGGGAACTATATCGGAGACATGCACTACGAGGAGAGCTTTTTATGGTGCACCCTACGCTGTGCCTGTGTGGCCACCATTTGCTCAAAATGGCGTCGACGGAAGAGTGCCTGTCGGCGGAATGAATGCCGATAAATCAAAGTTCCTCGCATCGAGCCTAATTTGAAAAATGCGCACACATCGCCGGTGCCGGACCCATTGCCAGTGCCAGTGCCAGTGCCTGGGGCAGAGAGAGAGAGGACCGACAGAGAGGCAAGGCCCACTGCGGAGGCAAGTGGCAGTGGCGGCTGCCGCAGCGGCATTTCATCAGAGAGAATTAATCAGAGCAGATGAAGCGACAACCGAAAAATAACGACGCGGCATCTCTTAAAGACCTCGCCTCGCCTTATCTCCTCAATCGCCAGATCCAGAGCCACATCCCCAGCCACCAGCCACCAGCCACCAGTCACCAGCCGGCTTTCAGTGCGTGTCCGTGCCTCTGCCACGACCCGTTTGGTGTGCAGCAGCCTCTCCTCTCGCTCCTCTCGTATGTACACATATATTATTGAAAACTGGCGCTTGGAGCGACGTCAGCGGAATGTCATTGAGGTGAGTTCCCGAGACCAAAAAAAAAACAGAGACCGAGACCGCGACTGTGACCGAAACGGAGACGGAGACGGAGACCGACACGCAGACCCTTCAGCGCCTTTGGCGGTGTCGATGGTGATTGTACGCCTACCATCAACCCCTCCCAGCATCCCATTGAAGCATCCATCCGAGCGAGCGAGCATCCATCAAATGCGCGCCCAGTTCATGTCAAATTATAAATTCTTAAAAAATTTAAATCTAATTTTCCGCGCCTGGGCCATGGGCCATGGGCCGAATATTCAAATACATAATGGATTTTACTTTCGGCTGACAAGTACAAGCCCATTTAATCAATAATTAACGTAATCCATCAAGTACAAAAGTGTCAAATGCACTCGTGAACGAGCGAGCGAGCCTCGCAGAACCAAAGTCCTTGGCAGGAGACGGGGCAGGGGGGGACGACAGCAGGCCTAAAAGGATTTTCATGAAAGCGCATCCATTCCAACGAGAAATCAAGTTGTTCCTGTCACAGAGCAAAACAGCGAAAAAAGATACACGAAACAAATCCGCGCTCGTCACATCTGCATGTCAAACCAGCCAGCCAGCAGCAGCAGCAGCAGCACAATCAACCCCTAAGAGGCAAGAGAGTTGACAGTAACTTTAACCCTGAACACCGTCTGTCAGTGTCGAGATAGTAGCAGGAGCAGGAGATTCAGCCAACAGCAGCGGCAGCAGCGGCAGCAGCAGCTTATCTAAGCCGAAAAGTCGACCCTGATCAACCACTTGCAGTCCAGCCCCAGCCCCAGCCCCTGGTTATATTCGATAGATATATAGCCCTTGTTTTACGAGTCCGAGCGAGCACTTGGCGTGGGTAAATGTGTATGGATATCCAACTACAAATGTCCATTTTTCAATTTACCTGGCCCTTACGCACTCTCCAACTACAACGACTGTCAGCTCTCCCCTGCCTCCAACACCCTTCGGTTTGGCATAAATTGAATCTCAAATGAAATAAAATGAAATGAAGTGAACGAAACGAAACGAAACGAAAGGAAAGCAAACAAAACAAACAAACAAACACCCACCGCCGAATCGCTCTATAAATTAGCCCTTGACTTGACCAGCGACCGATGGATGACCAGTTGGCTGGACTGGTGGCCGCTCGCTGGCGGCCAAAAGACCGTGAAATTTTCCCAATATGCTGCATTTTATTTGCGTTTGCCCCGCCACCGAAGGGTCACTCGCAGTCGCTGTCGCAGTCACAGTCGCTCTTTCCGCTGCCACCGCCACCACCAAAGCACCCCCCGGCCACTCTGCTCATTTTTCTCGTCTGACATTGCAGTGCATGGGCATGGGCATGGGTACGGATATGGGCCTACAAGTACACTGGGAAAAATAGCTAGCATAAAATGAGGGAAAAGTTGTACCCTTGAGGAGAGCATGTTCTTCATTTTATCAAGAAAATTCACCCTTGTCTTATAGAATTTGTAGACTTTGTTCTCCTTTTCTTTGAGTGTACTTTCTATGGATGTGCATTTTTGTGGGGACTTTGAATGGCATTCTGTTTGACGTATGAATAAATTATGCCCCTCGATCGGTTCTTTGGGCTAGTTAACATATTTTTAAAGAAAAGACAAAGGAAAAACGCTCTATATATTCAGGACGGTAACAGTTGACGTTTCTTCGCTTTTAATGGGGGGGGGGGACAAAATGTATATGCCACAATTTGTCTTTTGTTGCAATTTCATACAGATGCTCGGGCTTACATCTATTGGCAGTTAATCGAGACATCCCGACTGTCACAAATAATTAAACTATTGAGACTTATGCCGACTCGGACGGACGTTCATTTTTAGTTGTTTTCTCAGTTCAATAAATTCAAATTATATGAATTAAAACTATGTTGTGATCATTTATGTGACTAATCTCCATTTGTGTGTGGATATACTCGTATTATTTTTCGCAGCGATGTGCGAATGGGAATGGGAATGGGAATGGACAAACATGTCCGGTCTGACGTTTATGAAAAGCCATACAGCCATCGCAGCATCAAAGCCAATTAAGATACTGGACTCCACTCCCAATACAAGCTCTAAAAAAGGAATACGCGGCTAATTTCTGCGACAAAGCCGACAAACGATCCAGCATCCAGCGTCCAGTGTCCAGTGTCCAGTGTCCAGCAACCCAATGTCCAAGAGGCTGTGGAGAGTCTCGAGAAGCGGCACTTTTGTCGCAAACACACAGGCCGTAAAATTAAGAACTCTGATTGGTAACAAATGTTTTTGTTCATTCGAGTGATAAAAACGTAGCGAACCGAAAAGATATAAAATTCTCTTTAGTGTCTTCCCAGCGCAGCGATGATAAAATATTTAAATGAGTCGAACGAACGAACGAAAGCCGAATGGGAAGGCTCTCTCTCTCTCTCTCTCTCTGTCGCTCTCTCGCGGACACATTTAGGAAATCAGAGAACCAGAAGAGACCCCTTAATGGCCGCGCGCACGCACTCGGACATGGACTCAGAGCAGAGACCGGCATGGATGATATGGAGGACATCGACAACAGTGTACAGTGGGTACCACAGCGACAGCGACTAAGACCAAGGGCAAAGTGTGAAACACCGACTGAGGCGTAACGCCCATAGTGCTCGCTCCCCGATAACCACTGTATCCGAAGAGTAAGTCGGTCGGCTGTCATGATTAAATAAAACTCCAATGCAAACGGTCCGGCTAGGATATTAAATTACAGCCATAACGGCTTTGGGATTGACTCCGACAGTGGAAGGAGAGTAGAAGGCGAGTAGAAGCAGTGACAAGGGGCAGAGACAAAGGTAAAGGCCATGCCGGCAGGACAAACAACCCAAAAAAGGCTTGCCAGAGTGTCTTTTTGGGCCCAAGTCCAAGACACAGAACACACGGATACACGGATACGCAGCTACAGGGAAAGAGCCACGACAAAATCATAAAAGACATAAACAGTTGTAAAGACCCAAACCACAAAGGGCGTAGAATCAAAATTGAGCACTAAAACGTTATCGAGGTCGTCTCAGATTAACTAGCCTTTTTGCTGTGTCGATGACAGGACCGACGACACACTGAATACTGGATACTGGACATGTGGACAGGGCAGGGCCAGGCCCAGGCATGCGGACAGGTAGTTCATTCTGAAATATCGAATGCATCTTAAAGATACTTGTGCTACATTACGATCATTACTCTTTGTAACAGATATGCGAGCGTAACGCGTCGCTTCGGATCAACGCATGGACAGGGGCAGGGGTCTGGAGACAAGATGACCCGACTGCCGTGCAATCCCGGACCTGTCCTGTCCAGTTCCCCCCGCTGGCTGACTGACTGCAGGATGGTGCCTTGTCGCCGACCCACAACAGTGCTATTGTGCGACAAGTTTGTCATTCACAACCGTCGCGACGATAAGAAACCATTACGAGTGTATGAAAGAGCAAAGGACACTGCACCGAGGAGAGAGATCTCATTGAATGGCGCCAGTTTCACAATGAATTCTGATTCTGTCCAAATTATGGGAATATTTTCCGCCACGGTTTCATAGCGGGGTAGCGTAGGGTTTGTTTTTTACAAGACCTCCTTAGGTGCGAGTGGAACAATTGCTTCTTGTTTTCCATTTCAATTTTCTTTGAAACTCCCAAAAATATGCTGATTCCTGATACGTCTATTGGCGCCTTTTTGCTGCCCACACAGCAGCTACTAAAGTGGCGCATGAAAAGTGGCCAATTTTATGGCATATTAAGTACGAGTGTACATAAAAAATAGAAATACATAAAATATTTTAGCTTAACGCCACATATTTCAAACATTTCCTACCCCCAATTGGATTTTATGGGACTCGACGTTGATTGCGGGGTGTATCCAAGGAGGGCACTCGCCGTAATGCCTGGCCAGGCCTGGCTCTTTAAGGGAACATAATTTCATCCACGTGTCGGGGATTACACATTAACATCGCTACTGTGTGTGTTCCATTTTGGGAGGGCGTGTCAGTACAAGCGGCTGCTCTTAATCTTCAGCTACTTGGATAATAATTGATTTTGCCGGGCAATTGTTTCTGTTTCTCTGTTCAAGTATGTATCTATACTTAAATGTATTTTAGGAATAATTGTAGAGAATTGTAGGCACTTATGGACAATGTTTGTGATCTTTTGATCGTTATATAAATAGTAAATAGAAGTACTCCACAAGTCATTAGTAAGGATTGATAGCAGATCGATTCGATTTCCATATTTTGTGAAATTAAAAGTCTCTTCTACCATAAATTAAGCGAACAAACATAATTATGAGGATCAAATTGAATAGATTGTAGTTTATTAAGCGAAATAAGAGACGTTTTGTGTCTTGTACAAGCAAAAACATTGTGACTGCGTCGAAGATTGAGAATTAGCTGGAACTTCGACCCCGACCTCCTCTCCTTCTCATATTTAAATTCGAATCGGCGCCGGCGCCACCTGTCAGTCCGTCGCTGTACTTTTGCACGATCCGAGCCCCATCGTCGTGTACTTGCCTCACTTGCATACTGCCCTGCCCCCTGCCCCCTCCCAAGAAACGGAGATCGCCAACGACGCGAAACTGCAGTGTGGCCCAAAGGCAAGAACGTTAAAAACATTGTTCTCGTTATACAGAAATCATGTCTGCTCCCCCCGGCCCTGGCCCTTGCAGATCGTTTCGGTCGTGGCCAGTACAAAATGGCAAAATGTACAATCCGATTGTGCATGCGGGACGGGTACGGGGATGGGCCACACAGAAATCAGGGACAGCGAATGCTGGCGATAAAAGTGCAGCAAAGATGTTTTCATTGAGCATTGATACCAGGTTTCTAATGACATAAATGCTATCTCTCTCTCTCGCTTTACCCGCTGAGACTGTCCTAAACCGCAATGACCCCGATCGCCACAGGAGCATTGTCTGCTAGACTAGCGTCCCTATCCCTGTCCCTACTCCTGTCTCTGTTCCAGTCCATTCAAACTACTTTCCAGACCAGAGAGGAGTAAAAATTATATTCGTAAGGGGCCAATGCGCCGACACCCCGCTGCGGTGTGAGCACACAGCCGCCTATAATTGAGTTATACATTCGACTGGGCTGCCCGACTGACCCCTGGTGCTGGTATATAGAGGAACCTCTTCCCGAGGATTCGGGTGGGTTCGCAGCAGCTTAGCGGACAATGTTTTGACATAAATAAATGCTTGAATGACTTTAAGTGATGGCATTTTACGTTGACTTTCTATACCCAAACAGCAGTTTGGCATGATTTATGGCGGACGATCTGGCGACTTCTTCTTAGGAGATTACTTTTGTATACTCCTCGTATCGTATCGAATAGCTCTGGTGCTGGTGCCTGTGGCAGACGGGGGATGGGATGGCTTGGGTTGCGATCCGATGCGGATGCTCCTGATGCTAATTCGTTGTTCAGGTAGTGAGCGGAACACAATATATTTTTATGCGCTGCCATTTATTGGTCCGCTTGCGGACACATGGACACTATGTCTTAATTTAACGCAGATGATATTGTTACTTCACAACAACATAAATAGTGTGTGGCTTCCATTGTAAAACGTAATTAATTAATGCTATTGTTCAAATCTAAAACTGATCAACTAGTGGGATCCAGTTTCAAATTTACAATTTACATTAATGTGTTAGCTATACACAACCATACAAAACAACAACTTATTCTTGTTCTATAAAACAGATTATTAATTATTACAGCAATCATTTACAACAATAAGGCCACGAACATTACAAAAGCAGCTACACCATTTTACACGAGCCAGTGGCGCTGTCAGCGGCCGTTAATGGAACTACAATGCTAAAACGGCGTTGCATACTTTTAGGTAGCCCGAAATTACCCAACACCGCCAACAAGATCAATTTACGAAAAAACAAATGCCAGCCACATACAGTAATTAAAATCTACAATTTATATAAAGATTTTAGCCGAAAAGCGAATATCCTTCAATAGTCCCATACTATTTTTGCTTGGAATTAACAATAGCTCCAGCTGGCCATTCCGATCTCTATCTGAGAATGAAAGTTTCTTGCAAAAATCATTTTTTCTCAATAAGAACATAATTTGATCCTTCAAGAATAGTCAAAGAATACGATTGATTGTCTCGACATCAGTATATCAGCAAAATTTCGTGCTTCATTAGGAATAATTCTTAGATAACTTATCAACCATTAAATACATGAGTGACAAAAGACGATGGCTGGCTCTCTAGTCATTATCCATATAAACTCTTCCTTGATTTGCTGTTCTCTCGTATTCATATTTGATTCCTTACACTGATACACTTCAGAAGCTTGTTCTTTTATCGAAAGAGTCCGTTTTTTCTTCTGATTCTAGTTGCGCTTACTGTCAGCTTTAGATAATAAGAATACTTGTTGATCCCATTACATAAATTCCTAAAAATATTTGGTTTTTACTGACAAGCTTGGCCTGAGCTCGAAAAGTGGTCTTGTACCTTGTAAGGACATCTCAGCGTTCGGTACGTGGATAGGCTGGTAGCTGGTTCCTGACTCATTTGTCTAAGAATTCTTATAGCAAGCGGTAACCCAGCCCCTCGGTAGAACAGGGAAATTTGCAAATTTAATAACTTACAATTAATATCATGAACATAGTAAAAATGTAATACTACATAAATACTTATGTACATACATTGCATACATTGTAATGCAGTAAATGCAGTGGAAAAATGTACAGAGCACGGAAATTTCATTCTGCACATATGTATGTACATGTAAATAATTATAATCTTCATATATCTTTATAAAAAATATTGGTGCATGTCTTTTTCTTATAGAGTAAAGTTCGTATTGCCAATCACGACTAGAAATATTCCAAATATTCAACTGCGTCTCTTAGTCTATTATTTTACTAAATAGGGTTTATTCTCGATCAATCCATCCATCCATCTCCTGTGCTCGGAACAGTTCCACACACTCTGAAATTGAAAGAACGAATTAGTGATATGCTCAGAAAAAAGTAGTCTCAAATTCATACTCAAACCATTTCGAAACCAGAACATTCCTTTATTGATGACGCGTCAGTTGGCAATCTGAAATAGTCAATATATTCAATCAAACAATTATCCAAAGTGTATTTTAACTGACAATACACGCCACTAAATTGCACTTTTCAGCGTTGCAAGTTTCTTGTTTTAAATATACTTACAAATATACTTACCTCCTACTCCTACTTCTCTCATACGAGAAGACATATCGTCTGGCGGGGCCCAGTGGAGACAGTCTGTCTGCTTTGACTACCTGTTGGATGTTGGATGTTGGATGCATACTATTGAAAGTGCTGAAGCTGGGTGCTGGACCGGCTCCGACTCATCCATCGGATAAGAATCTGACTCAATGGATTGAAAATGAATGAATCAATTTCATACCAAAGCCAAGAGTTTTTTTTTCTTTCCATTTTTGTCTTAATGTTGGAATTAAGAACGCATCGGCCTTTTGGCTTTTCCACATCTGAAATATCAAGAAGATTAACCGTAAGATAAAGAGTTTCCGGTCAAACAAAATAAATGACACAGTCAGATGAAGACAGTCGAGGAACGAAATATAGGTAGCACTGATGTACATGCTTTTAATGAGAATTTCAGCCATACAAAAGATCTTTCGGAATGCAGGTCTTGGAAGGGAAAGCTTGAGTCTAATAATTGAACGATTTAAATTTTAATACACATTTTTCCTAGGAAAGTTTCATTTATTATATGATTTACTATGCCATTTTTGATGGGATTTATCTGATAGTATTTCCTACATATTGCAACAGATCTGTGCTGGTATCGAACTTGGTCGAAATGTCGACTGTGGCATGGCACGATTTTCACGGACATGCCTGTACGATGCGGTGCTTTGCGGCATACATTTCAAAACAAAAGAACTCCTAAATGAAGGCCCCAAATGCATTGGAGATGTTGAACGGGCACACACAGCAAATAAACACGTCGGTTCCATACCATACGGTCCCCACACTTCAGTTCTCCCAGCTAATTAATGACGTTGCTCAGTTGGTTTCCCCCCCCGTTCCCACTCACTCGATCAGTCCAGGGCAGTTCAGGGCAGTCGGAAAGGCACTATAGAGGTCCCCTATGGAGTGATGCCATTTTAGTTTTCGTTTTTTTTCACCTTATTCTCGTACTTTGGGGACGATGCGACGGTGTCGTAAGTGAAGTGCCAATAAACACGTGATTTACTCAAGCTGTGATCAAGGGTAAGGGCAGAGGAAGAGCCTCTATCTGTAGCTGTGTGTGTGACAGTCAAAATCATGGGGCTTATCGCTTCCATCGGCCATCAAGATGCCGCTCATTAATTTTAAAATTAGGCGGGTTTTCAAGAAGAGCCAAGAAATGATGTCCTCCTATAGCTTAAGTCGAACTAAACTGGAAGTCTCGATCCATCCGTATCCCCCATTCCCATTCGCATCGCATCGCATCCCTCCTGCGCAGTCCAGAGTCCCGAGTCCCGAGTCCCAGAGTCAATGTTCCTACTCGATGCATTGCGACCGACCATGAGTGCATAAATTAATTAAGCCGCTCGGAATGGGAACGTGTCGACCTTTTGTCTGGCATCATTGTGGAAGAAGAGAAGGCAAAACCGCGCGATGGCGGCATGGCGGCTCTCTTGCCCCATGTCTCGGTTGGCCCTGTCCAGACCCCATTTGGTATTGGTGGACCCCCATTCGATGTGAGTGGTGCATGTGCCGGAGGACGCTGTAAATTAAAAGCCGACCAGCGCGGTCGTCCTTTATGCAGCTCCCAACCGACACTGGGGCTGAGTCATTTGCATTTTTGCCTACTGCCGGTCGGGGTCGGTCGGTTGGTCTGATTATGAAAGATGCTGCGTGGGTGATAAATGGTTGGTGTCAGTGTCTGTGTCTAGTGCCCACACCCCTCCATCAACGCCTTGCCTTGCGATTGTTGCATTTTCGAATATATAACACATTTTCCAACCCCATCGTCGGATGGCGGCGCTCGTTAACCCCTTGCTGGGCCAGTCGGTGGGAGATTAGCTGCCGTCCTGCCAAAATTTATCTGTGTTCATCCCTCTGCTCACTCGGGCACTGACAAGGGCCATGGACCAAAGCCAAAGGCAAAGCCAACATCAACATCAACATCAACACAAATCTAATAGATCCCGATTGAGATTTAATTATTTCACTTAATTTTCTGGCTGAATTGATGCGGCTGACTTTGTGCTTAACTTTCATGTCCGACGTCCTTTAACAAGTTAATGAAGCGAATAAATTTCTTGGCAATTATTTTGTGGATTGTTTTAATTGACCGAAAGACGTTTGGCTTCAAGACGGACCCAAGACCAGATACCCAGAGACCCAGAGACCCTTCTGCTGGCAGCAGTAGGAATCAAAGGATAAGGCGATAATTATCCCAGCTGGAGCTCGATAATTAACTAATTGGTTCAGACATTAAATCAGAAACTATGTAAAACCCAGAGTGAGTTATTCACCTGCCAGTCCAGGCCATTCAAGAGTGGTCTATTAATTTTTTTTCTAGCCATAAAAGCAAGTCCCAGGCGGGAGCGCCCATCATCAGCTGTGGCTCTAGTCTGTCCAGGAGGCAGCTCGAGGCTAGCGCCGGACTTTGTTTATGATGAGTGATTGTTATGAGTTGTCAAAAAGGCATGTGACCCGAGAAGGACTCGTATGTGGTGCAGACCAAGGGTGGCACTGGTGCCTGTGCCACGCTAAGCAGGAAATCCCGGCAGGATCTGTTAGAATATGCCGTCAACATATGCAAATGTACCTACACTTGTCTGCTGCTGCTGCTGGGGCGAGCTGTGGCGAGCTGTGGCTGCTGTGCTTTGAAGGTAAAGCCAGTAGACCACCGCGTGACACCGTGCTGCAGATATATATTTCAATAATTCCACCCTCGCCTCGCGCACACTCCAAGTGGCAAGTTGACGGAGCACACGGCGCTCGGCTGTCGACACCGCCCCTCGATAAGAATCAACCCTGTTTTTGGGGTGCTTCACTGCACCGAGAGTTTACTTTAATGTTTTGACAGTAAAATAAACATATCCCAAGTCCTGCTCTTGCTCTGCCAACGTAACATATGAGGAAAGCATGGGAATGGGAACGAGAATGGGTGCATGGGTGCGTGTCTTTGTGCAGGAGTAGCAGCCTGTTCTGCGTCGAGACTGAGGCCCAAAGCCCATAGTTGTCAAATATAATTCATCATTCCAGGGAAACATCAAAGCCAGGGAAGGGGCAGGGCAGGCTCACTCTGCTGAAGGCCACTGGGCATAAGTAAACACAAAGTCGCCAACAGCATCATTATCAGTTTTGGGCTTTTGCTTTGGGTGTTTTTGTGCTGGTCCTGGGCGTCTGGTCAAGTACGTCAAGTCAATGTCCTGAGTAGCGTCTGGCCAGGGGGTGGTCAAGAGGGGCCAAGCCAAGGGGGCAGACAACAAACAGTGCCGAGAATCTCTTGGCACATTCTCCTTACGGGGATTACTTTAAATTGAGCGACTGGTAGCCAGAGGCCCAACACTTTACTTTACCGCAGAGGGGCAGGGCCAGGGACTGGGACAGGGGCAAGGGCTGGCAGCAGAAACACTTTGGTCGAAAGATTCGCATGACGTCCTTTTAAATAATTAATGTCAATTAGGTGGAAAATCTAACTTTGGCCCCATCAGTGGAAAAAGGTACGAGTGCGGGAATCATTTGGAATCGGAATACACAGAACGGCAGGTAACTGGCGGGGACCGGGGCCCGGGGCCTGTCTGTCATAAATATTTTATAAGATCAATTACAAAGCACTTAACTTTCATGAATTTAATACGAAAGAAGTTGCTGCTGCCTCCTATCAATCTCCGCTGCTATATATAGCCAATGCCGAACAATCAACACTCGATACTCGACACTCGACACAGAAAGAGCAATCAGTTTTCCCTTGTAGCTATCTTCTATCCGTGGGACAAGTGTAAGCCGGAAAAATGCACACATATGCGCCACACGGACGCCCCTCGTATGTTTCTCCTTTTTTTGTTGTATTTTTGCTATGTCCTCGAGTCCTAGTCATAGTCCATCAGTATCGGCCAGGGGCAATCCATAGTAAATGGATAGCAGCAGCAGCGGCAGCAACCCCAAAAGTGCCACTTTGCTACCGTTCAAGCAACACCGTCGCGGGCGGGGGGTAGGAATACTGCCGTGATTTACTTCCCTTGGCATTCTCGGCAGTAAAGCAAAGTAAAATCCCAAATAAAATAAAATTAAATACGCATCAGGAGCACAAGTGCTTAAGGCCCGCGGCCAGGTCCTGTCCCAGTCCCGGTCTCAGTCCTTGTCCCTCGTCTGGCCAAGAAATCGAAGGAAGGTCCGTAGACGCTGATAAAAACAATATCAATACCCACTTGGCACGGCCACCGAGTGGCACAGAGGCACAAGCACAAGGCACTAAGCCCCCAGTATCGGATGAAGTTGGGCGCGTGCCGATGGCGGCACACACCACACTGAACTGAACTGAACTGAACTGAACTGAACTGAACTGAGTTCCCCCATTGATATTCATGGTCGATTTTGGTCTGGTATTCGGCATAAGCGAAAGCACAAAACAAAACGGAACATACATAAATAAATAAAATTTATGGCAGGCCCAGGCACAGTCCCAGCCAGCAACCTTTCCAATTGGATTGGGCTTTGATGTGTCGGATTATTTTCACTCCATTCGATTGTTTGATTTGAGCCAAAAGTGTATCAATCTTTAGCGCATATGTTTCCCCTCCAATCAATTTAGTTATCATTATTTGGGTGTGTTTTATGTGCATTTAATAAGCTGATTTAGGGTAATACTTCGCACAAGTAATTCGGACTAAAGTGGAAAGACTTACGGAAGTTAATAGAAGACAAGACAAAGAAATTAGTAGGTAATTAATACATGAAAATCTTAAACGAATAGGCTAGAAAACCAAGAGAAATATGCATAGAAAAACAGGGTAAACTGGGTAACCAAATTATAAAGTCTCAAAAAATAACTCCACGTAGAAGGATTGATTTCCAACTCCTGTGCCCCTTGGTATGCCCTGGTGTGCGCACACTTATTAAGGGTCGAAAGTCGTAAGAGCTCTAAAGTTTCTGTTTATCTAAATGCTGCATTGTATTTCTAAAATGTCCCAAGAGATTTTCTGAGGCGTTGAAGCGTGCCACCCCGGTTTTCGGGCCAACAAAATGCAGTGGTTTCCGGTTCGCCAGCGACCCAACCCGAGCCGTTCGTCCTGCCTGTGCTGGAGTGGGTGGTGGCAGTGGGAGTTAATTCGCCAAAGTCAGTAACCTCATCAAAGAACAGCTAGCTAACCGTCTGTCGGATGGGGCGTGCCATGGGTCGGGGGGTGTCGTCGTCGTCGTCGTCGTCGTCGTCTACGTCTACCATCGGCCACATTAAATTTGCGCCAAACGACGTGAGGCGCATATGTTTATGAGTCTCGTTGAGATTGAGTAGTGCCGGGGCATGCCCATGGTTAACCGAAAACGGAGCAGTACGCTTTCTGCATAAAAGCCTCATGGTCACCGTTCGTTCCTCTAGCCTGTAGCCTGTAGCCTGTAGCCTTCTGTAGTCCCTTTGCCTTTGCCTTTTGCCGTTCGCCGCACGCTGCCTGCTAATGGATTTCGTGGCTGCCGCTGCCGCTGCCACTGACGCTACCAATTGAAGGGTTAGGGTTGAGACCGCTTCGCAGCATGCTTTCAATTTACTTCCACTTCCATAGCCACTTCCACTTCCACTTCCACTTCCTCCTGCCGCTGCTCTGGCTGCTGCTGCTTTGCTGTGACTTACGCACCGTGAATGAATGCGCTGTTGGTGTGGTGCCTTGGCCGGGGGGGAAGCTTACCCGGGTCCAGGCTGAGGCCAGGCCAGGCCAGGCCAGGCCGGAGCATCAGGGGATGCCCTTCGGTGTATGCCGCCGGGCGGCTATTGGGGGTTTTTGGTGCACGCGACTTTCACACTAACGTAATAAAGAGCTCAACGACACTCAAATTGAATACGTCTCATGGTGCGAATGGCGTAATGATTTTCTATGTGGAACTCGATGCAGATAATGGTTGCGACACCCACGCTCCCACACCTCTCCCACTCTCTTATCCTCTCTCTCTCTCTCTCTCTTGGTAGATATTTCACCCCTCTTGATGGTCGCATCCGGATCCGGATCCGCACTCGCTCGCCCCCATTCGCAGCCACCCCACCACGTACGTCTGGTCTGCGCTGGGCTGGGCGTTTCGTTTTTGTTTTGTTTGCGTGGTGATAGAAATTAACCCCTCAATTGAGGTTGAATTTAATTTGGCGCAAAATGGCAAAGGGGGTGTTACTCTGACTTGTCTCTGTGTTGTCTCGGTGTGTGTTTGCAGTGTGGATGCTCACATCGCCGCTCAGTTTGTACAGTTGAAAATGATATCGCTGTTAACGCTAAAGGGCCATTGTCAAATTGTCTCTTATTAATTATGATGATGCGTGTGCCGCTCTCGAAGGGGTGGCATGGTGGCATGGTGTGGTGTGTGGAATGCAAATTTTCGGGCCTTGGGTCTGGGTTTGGGTCTGGGTCTGGCGTCTTTAACGTAATTTATTGCGTGATGCTCGCTGGCGGCGGGCTTAGAGTGAAAAGTTAAGACCAGCAGAGAGAGAGAGAGAGAGAGAGCAAAGTGGAAGGAGTTTTCTGTACAGCCGCTCTGCCTGGCAGGACACATGCAGATAAGGTGGGAGCTGCCACATGCCACACACTCCTGAATGAATTGACTTGCTTGGGTGCAAAACTATGCATGGGGGGGGGGGGGGCCAGCCACCCATGCAAAGTTTTGCTTAATTTACTCCAGACAATGGCAGCGCCCCAAACAATGGGCGCCACACAATGGCATAGAAGGAAGAAGCCTTTGGCCACCCACACCGTGATGACCAGTACCATTCGCTCCTCCATCCCCACTTTTAATTCCATTGAGAATGCAATTCGCCAACTGAAGTTTCAAAGGGGAATTTGGCATTAGAGTGGTGCGAAATAGCGTCTAGAAATCAGCCAAAGAGACTTAACTAAAACCGAATTATAGGCATAAAAGACAGCACTAATTCCCATCAGATTTTTATACTCCAATAAAGTCTGATTAGTAGTTCTCTTTTTTTCCTGTGCTCCCATCGGCTCCAATTTAAAAGCGCAATTAGTCACCGGATACTCTGGCAAACAAAAAAGAAGCCCAACAGACACCTGAGGTGTTGCACAGGGCGTTGCACATCTCGGCGTTAGCTGCGATGGCCCCTAAAGTGCCACAATTTATGCAGTCGCAGCAAGGCACAAAGCGCCTGCTGATCGCATTCGGCCTCTTGGAATCGCGTTTCATTCACGGACGATATTTCATTGCTTTATTAAGTTAATTTCATATATCACAACTGTGGGCGCCAGTCTCCCCACCATACGACTTGCAGAGGGGACATCTCCAGGCGAGATGACGGGAGGCTGGTGGATGGTGGCTGGATGTGGCGCGCAGCTTGAGCTCGTTACTTTGATGCATTTGGGGCGCGCGCATCGGTCAGGGCGCCGTTTATTTGTGGACAGACGCCTCTTGAACAACAGCGGGACATTACTCGTACTTCACGGGTGTCCCGCTCCCCTTTCCCCCCTTGGTCTTGCTGCCAAAACCGAACTTGTTATGTCCGCATAAAGTAGAGCTGGAGCTTGAGTCAGTTTTTGCTCTAGAATTCGCTAAGATAGCTCCTCTCAGAGTTCTCCCAAAAGTTCAAACTGCGCCCAATTGGCAACATCATTCAAATGATTCCCCCCACCTTGAAACATCGAACATTGGAGTGCCACAATGGCAGCAACGGCAACCGCCCATTAGCCACATGCGCGCCTGCGTGACACATCGACATCAATCAAAGTTTCACCCGTTCCTATGACTTATGGGGATTGGGGTTGGGGGGTCACACGAACCTGTAGAAACGACTCTGGCTCTGGGTTTGGGTTTGGGTCTAGGCGTGTGTAGTATTTTCTGTTTTGGCTATGGGTCTGACTGTCTGACTGTCTCGCTGTCTGTGCCTGCTGCGCCTCAAGCGCGTAAAAAGACATTTTGACAAATTCAAGTAGCGCCATCTACACTCGACTTTAATGGCTTTTATACTGCTTGTCACGATATTTCATCAGTCACAGGGGCCAGCCATTGCCCAACCAAGACCAACGACAACAGAATGGATTGACACACATGGAAGTGGCAGTCCGGAGGGCAGGGCAGGGGGACACAGTAGCGCGAATTTTATTTGATGTTATTTCCATTTGAAAATGAGTTATTGACACATGTAGCCACCCCCGAAGAACAGGACCAACGCGCAACCACAGAACCAGCGTCCTGCGTCCTTTCCCCATCTGGGCAAAATTTGGGGTAACATTGCGTGGGAGCGGCCTGGGCCAAAGAGAGCGCGCATAAATTTTGGTTGCCAAACACGGGGGGCTCCCCTTTTGTTTTCGTTAGCAGCGGCCCCCAGCCCCTATTACACACTTGCCTTGATTCAGGATCTGCGATTTTCTTTTTCCTTCCATGCCCATGCCCATTCCCCGTTTCCATTTCCCGATTTGATTTATTTTATTTGCTTTCCATGGCACCCGCAAGTGGTGCTGCCACGCCACTCTCCACCGCGCAGAATGCTTTATTAATATTGTAGGCGTAGCTAGTAACGTGTGTGGCAGGGGCAGGGATATGGCCCCGGATTCATTATATTCCCACAAACAATGCCACGCAGAGAGCGGTTAATCAAATATCCCTTAATACGATAGTTATACTACGAGGAGCAGGAGGAGGAGGAGTAAGCAGACATAAGTTATAACTGGGAAATTTGGGGGGGTGTGCGGTTTGTTTTCTGTGCAAATAGTTTCGCTTGTTTAACTAATTGTGAGATTTTCTGGGTCTAATCACTCAAACAACAACACATTTCGATGGTCCAAAGACTTAGGAAGTTCTTCGTAGATTTTTAGAGCAAAAAGTAATAAGTTGAGAGTGAATTTTCGTAGGTTTAACTACGAAATTAAATTGTCATTCAACTTTTCCAGCATTTCTGCAGTGTCCTGCCCTTAAAGTTGAATGCTTTGTTCTATTGACTAAGACTTTGCAAATAGTTAGATGACTGATTGATGAAGTACATACAAAAACATACAAACATAAATCCAATACATAGACGAACGAACGAACGAATGAATGACGAAGCTGAATGCGTACGGGGACTTGTATGCCACATTAGATATTCATACGCATCCCAACTCAGCTTCAGGGAGCAATGGAGATGGAACGATGAATGTCCTGGTGCCTGTAGCCTGTATCCTGTATCCTTGGTGCCGCCCAGCCACTGTTGCTGTCTGATAAATCACATATTTTCGCTGATCAAATCAATCTAATTGACATCACTCAAAATGATGGCGAAAAAAGTTTCCACATTCATTCTTGGCAAAAAATGCGAATAAATGAGTTCGAATGGGGGACTCGTTCCCTCAAGCCCGTGGCCCGCCCCCAGGCACTGTTTTGGCTTAATGGTGGCTCTGTTTCGCCCCCTTGTGGTGCGTCTGCGTTGCTCCCCCACTCACTCCATGCCATGCCCCAAGTTGCCTATGCGGTAAAGCAGCGTGATTTATTTTCATTCCGATGCCACACACACACACACACACACTCTGCCACCCAAATTCGACGCTCCGTCATCCTGACATTCGAATTGAAATGCAAATTCTGACGAATGTGCGCTGGTTACGCCGCCCGGATGGAACACGGATGGCGGAACCCGGGTCGCTGGAGAGGATGCCGAACGACGACGGATTGACTGACGAATGACTCCCGGCAGTGTGTAGCGACAGTAGGCGGTAAATGAGTGCTCGCTAGCCATGTGTGTTCGTTACTTACAGGAGTAGGAGGAGTAGGAGGAGTAGGAGTAGGAGCAGGAGCCAGCCAGCACACATGTGCGAATACATCAGCCACAGAGTACATATGTACTCCGTTTGGGTATGTGCGTGTATCATTTCCCATGCATCCCATGCCAGGTTGAATTCAATAGCACACATCTCATTTACTTTCGCATCATTATTTTGTATACCTAAGATGTTTCCAGCAGCGAATCCAATCGATTATTGAGAGCTCAGACCCCAAGCAGGGCTAACACTTTAAGCTGGGATTTAAAGGGAGTTAAAGGGAGTCTCTTAATAACTTCGAACCCAAAGCCAGAGTAACCCTTTCAGTAGTGATGTTCAGTGTTTGTTAATTACACCACACAATGGCAGACATATGTGGGAGAAATGTATGTACATGAAAGTACTCACCCAGACAAAGTTCTGCACTAGATTCATCCTTTTTGCATCTAATGAAAGCGCCGGCCAGCTTCATAAGTTGATTCAGCATCTGCGAAATATATGCATGTCTGTAGATTTATCTTCTTTTTTTGTTGTTGTTAAAACAAAGTCTGTTGCCAGAGAGTGCGCCTACTTAAAGCCCGAGCGGGGCCCATCCACACATGAGAGCTCTTCTATCAGCCAGGACTTCGACGTCCTAGTAGTACGTGGTGTCGGCCAGCATGTAAATGCTGCTTACAGGCGCACAGACAATATTAACAATTCCCCGCAACTTGGATGACACTGTGTCCTACGTATACATGTGTCTGGCCCTGGCTATGGCTGTGGCTCTGCCTCTGGGTCGTATGTGGTACGGCGAACATTCAGATATTATATGCACATAAAGTGCTCCTTTCCTTGCCATTCCTTCAACTGCAGTCGAGCGGAGGCGGAGGCGTAGTAGGCCAACCCTTCCCGTTGCTCGGTTGGCATGTTTGTCCTCGTCGTCGTCGTCGTCGTCGTCGACGCCTACCCCTTGTATACGTTAACAACTGTATCCCTTGTGTGCTGTCGGCGATGTCCTCTTTGATGCCCTGTAGCACATGCAAGCGGTACGTGTCCTTAAAGCATCCTAAAAGTATACCACAATATTTGTAAATTCTACAAGGATTTATATTATAATTGACATTCTGGTTAGGTCAACGTTTACGCGTGTAAATTGCATTATTATTCAATAAATATTATTAAAACTATTCAGTTAATATTATTCATATAAAATCTAGAAATTCTCTGGCCCATCTCTAGTGTCCACACATGCCCCGAGCATGCCCCTTGTGTGTGTGCGATCCTTGGACTGTTGCCGTGTCAGTGTCGTCGTCCCGGCGGTCCAGTTCAGTCTGGAGTCTCGCTGGTGGAGGCAAAAGTAAGTTGTTCAAGTGGCAGCTTAATTCGCATAAAATGAAAACACGCTGTCTACATTGTTCCTACAACTTTTCGAGTTTTTTATAGCCCTTAAAATGGCTGCTAGACAAAGGCTTAACAAACGGTTACGTTGCTATATGTGTGTACAATCTATGTACAATACATAGAGCTCTTCGCTCTTTATTATTGTCTGTGGCTGTGTCTATGTTTGGGGCAAGTGCCCCTTTGAAGTTCAGGTATCTTGAATTTGAAATGCCAACTACTCGTATATTAGTGTGTACAACAGGCTCATTAAATGGTCAAAGTTGTGTGTATTCTCGCTTGATATAAACATTAAACGGTTCATAAATTACGAAATGTTTTAGTCTAAAATATATTAAAAATTATGCAGTTATGGCGAAAACACTGGCTCTCAACGAAATAGTCTTACGAATGATTTTCTATTATTATTTATAGCACCAAACCCACACAAAGAACAATCCTGTGGATTCACTTTATTTCCAAGCAGAAGTCTAGCCAATTTTCATTGGGATTTACTGATTCGCGACGTGAATATTGGATATGACCTCTTTTAATTTTGTTTTCCTCTTCGGCGACAGCCTCAAAAGGGGAAATCGATAAATGCAAATACATTTTTATTGTTAACATTTAAATAAAAGGTTGCACTTCATGGACGACAGTACACAATGTAAAAAGGGGGCAACTGGAGTGGAGTGGAGTGTTGCCACCTCCGATAAACCAACAGTCACATGAAAGCAGAATCACATTTTTTTTTCACATTTTAAAAAATTCAATATTCTTCATCCGCCTACGCCAGACGAACTTTGCGGTCCCTTCCCCTCCACCTGACCAGCAGCAGGACATGAGAGGTGATTGAATTTAATTCTGGCAAATAGCCGACTACAGCACATGCTGCATTTAGGGCAGAAAATTAAGGAGTTCAAACTGAAACACTTCTCTAACTTTCAGCGCTATTATGTGTTATATTTTGTATACAACTTGTGTGGATATTCATGTAAAGGCTGATAATATAGACATTATATAGGAATTTGGCTAGAAAAAATGGACTTCCTGCAATTGGAGTCTGGTATTTTATAATAACAGTAGGGGGCTCTGATGTGGCTGTGGCAGCCACAAAAAGCGTGCCAACCGAATGAGCAGCTTAATCGCTGTCACGAACACTTAAAACAACAGTGTAGGGAACGCTCCCGTGAATGAGGTTCATTCCTTAAAAAAGAGAGAAACAAAATAAACCTGTTTCTCAGCTGATCTTTCCTTTCCTTTTTTTGTTTTGTCGGTTTTGTCAGTGAGTGACACTGCTGGTCGGTTTTAATTAAAATTGTACGCTCTTGTAAGAGACGCGAGACTCATCGAAGTACGAGCAATATTTAAAGGTGCAAACACACTCCGATGTTTCCAATTTAAATAGTATAATTTCCCCCTTATGAGAATCAATGTTAGACTAGTTTTTCCTTACTGCTTTAATTGTGAGAAGGGTTTGAAAGCTGTTTTTATTTTGATAAATATGTTCATGTACAAATTTGCAAACTTTCGCAATAATTTACACTCTTAATCAGGTTTGTTTAAAAGAAATGAGCAAGTGCGTGCCGCTGTTCATAAAAATGCACTTCGCTGAAAGTATTGTTGCTGGAAAAATAAAACTTCACAGCACATCACAGTGCGATGTGTAGGAAAAGGATGGATGGAAAATTCTATTTCAGCTGAACACGAAACCTCCGAGTGTGTTGCATGTTAACAGACTGGGGCGGCTCCTCTGATTTGAGGTGGAATATTCATATTTCGCATATTTAAGATACGCAAAAACTGACCCAAAATCAACCACTTGGCTGCGGGAAATTGGATTTATTTTCTAGCATTAAAAAGTTTTAATGGGAGGAGCCCATTTCAATTAGTTTTCTTGCTGATGTTTCCAAGGAAAAACAATCAATCGACTATGTAATATACGAGCATGGCAGTTCCCACACCCAAAAGCAGGCAATGACCCTTCATGTAGGTCCAACTTCTTGCACCACTGCACTTGGTTGCAATCCGGCCGGTCGGTCGGTGGTTGCATGTGGCCAGACCGAGGCCCAGGCCCAGGCCCAGGCCCGTTGCAGAGATCTGCGGTGTTGCAGTTGCAGTTTAGCGGTTATATTCAGCATAAATGAATATGTAATTTATTTTTATTATGGTGCAAATTGCGAATTGAATTGTTTTTAATTATTCCATACTTCGTCGGCTGCTGCCGCCAATTTTTCTTAACCGCAGACTACCGCAGCCTACCCAGCCGTTGACTAGCGCTAATACAATGCAATCGAACACGCCTTATGCCATGACTATTTGTAATAGAAAAACAAATAGAAATTATGTCTTATTTAAGACACCAAATAACTATTCACAGTGGCAAAAGGAAAGAGCTTGGCAAGAGAAATGGCAAATATCGGCAGGTTTTATCGACATTCATGTGACTTGTGGTGTGTGTGGTGTGCACTTAACACATACTTTAACTTAATACATTTTATGGGCTACTTCGTGGAGTACTGTGGCAACAGTGTATGCTAATTTTTAGCTTACGTGTGCGCTTCAGAAGATATTATTTCGTTCTCTGCCTTTTCATTCTGACCATAACAAGACGGTGAGTGGCTGCCGCTTCCTCGCCGGCTGCGGCTTTCTTGAACTAATTAAAAATTCCAGCGCTGCAATTGCAAAAATTGGTCCCTTATCGGTTGTATCATCGACGCCACGAACGAACTCTTTCTTATACACACATATATAGTACGGAGTCGAGTACGAGTCGAGTTTGATGCGCTGATGAATAACTGCCTAGACTAAGGGTGGCCGAGAGGCGGCGGCGAGGAACAAAAAAAAAATGAAAAAAGTACATTTATGAATATGATTATTTAGCTCATGATAATTTTTTTCGCTTGCTTCTTTTTTTTCTCTTTGCTGTTGCATTATTTTTGCAAAAGCGACGGAGGCGTTTTGCGAAACAATTTCTGTTTATGGTCCCAGACACGCGACGCGACGATACTAGCCTGGTCTTCCATCATAACATTAACAGGAGAAAACTCTTGGGAGCTGGAGAAGGTCTGTGCAAAAACCCATTGAATGGAACTGCCTCACTTTTTTTCTATACTCCAAATCAATTCAATAGCGGCAGAATACTTGTGTTTACTCGTTAAGTTCTGACTGCAAAGCGCAGACGAACGCAGTTACAAATTTGAGTGGATTATTTTGGCAGAAAAGTGGGGCTGAAATATGTACATATATTCAAGTTGAGAACTCGAGAAAGCGGTGAAAAATAAAAAATTGCATACTAATTTTCATATTTATTGGAAATAAAATAAATTAAATCTGGAAAAATATGAAAATATTTAATTTAAACATCAAAATATTTGCTTTAAGTATGAAATATTATTTAATCAAATATTTTAATATCAAACGAATGCAAGTGCACGTGCAACCCATTGATTCTTAGTCATTTTTTCTATGCCTTAATTAGCATTATAAATGTCTCTGCGTACAACTGAAATTTCTTGGCCATAGGCAACAAATTATTTACCTGACAATTTTCAAGACGCGACTGTAAACAGTCTTCTTCTGGCCAGTAGTGTTGGGTGCGGGGTTGCCGGGCTGCAAAGTCCATGCTGACGGGTCACTTGTAATGCTTCCAAAAACTCGTACACGAGGGAGGTCGAAGCGTTATGCCACAGCACTGCCGCTGGGACGCTGAAAAGCACGTGACAGTAAACTTTAACACTCAAATAGTTTTTGTTGCGTAGTACTTTGTCACTTTGTGGCAGCAGCGGGCAACGGGCAGTGGCTTGGACAAAGGTGAATGCTTGAAGCCATCAGTCGCTGGTAGGTAAACATGTCGAGAACCTAATGGCAGAGACCTGAGGGCCTTGGGGCCTTGGCCCAATCAGGGGCACGCACTTTTCGATTCACATGCTACATACGATATCTATCACTTCCTCCTGTTGTCAGTCCACAATCGAAGACGAAGACGAAGCTGAAGACGACACCACATCCATCCCACCCTGCCGCCAGGCAACCTGTTCCGTGCGCCCGCCCGCCGACTGGGGTCGCTCGCCTGCCGCATGTCGCCTGCTGCCTGTGCCTTTGCCTTTGCCTGTGCCTTGCGCGCCCACTCTCGTCCATGATGTGCGCATTACCGAGCTCGAGAGCATACTAGTCGTGTTGCATGTTCGCGCTCGCTCGCTGTGCCGCACTTAGAGTGCTGGCTGCCACAACAGCACAACAGTCGGTCGGTTGCAAAACTGAGCGGGGGTTGGCATGGCATGGCATGGCATGGCCATGGCCCACGGGGCGCATGGGCAGTGGAAACAGGTTTCTCCTGCCGCGTGCGAAAGGGACAGACAGGCCAAGGCACTCACGGTTCGCACTACTCTTTCCAGGCGCAGAGGGGAAATGCTCCGCCCCCTTGATGCAACGGAATGGATGGCCTCGTGGCCCATGCTTCCACGGGTGGGGGAAGTCTTTGGTGTTTTTGGGTTAAAACTTTTGCTCATAGACTTGGGCCAGATTTTAATTAGTACATGTACATACATAGATCCTGAAATAGCCTTCCCCCCCCCCGCCTCATATGTGCACTCACATCCTTTAAAGTAAATGTGGAACGTTACAATATGATTCTTGGTAAAATATTTATAAAACTTCGAAACAGGAGCGCCCCCATGGCAGCTCTCTGCTAAAACTTGCTATAAAATTTGTGCATAACGTTGACAGGACGAAGCTTCCACTGATTAAAGGAGCTGCACATCGATATCGAGTGCTTAAATAACGCCAACGTGGCCCCCAAAACCGATCCGAAAACAAGCCTGCAGCAGCAGCAGCAGCAGCCGCCTCCCCGAGCACACACAAAAGTACGGACTGTGGGGGGTGGCGAGGTTTGTGCATGTTAGACGCGGGTTGGAGGAGAAGGTGGAGTGCACAGAACATGAGATAATCAGGCAGAGGCCTCGAAAGGGGCCAGCCTCGCCAGCCTATTCTGCGCTACTCTCTGTCGAAAATTGCATCCATGTCATGCCTGGCGCATCCATTCATTACCTAGTGGCTGGCTGAGTGGTCGGTCGGAAAGACGACAGCGTTTGGCGTTTTGTATCCTCAGCAAATATGCCGTGTTCGCATGTTATCCCAAATGTCCCCGAGTGCGCTCAATGGCACCCACAGCTCCTCCAGCTGCTCCTGCTGCTCGTCCTGTACTGTCCTGCCAGACAGTGTGTACTTTATTTCACCGAACCGAACAAACATCTTGTCGAACGAGTCAGCAAATGACTTTTCTGGTCTCAACTTTCAACTGTTGTCCATTCTTTCTCTTTTTTTCTCACTTATTTTCTATTTGTTAGCCACTAAAAATAGTTATAGACTAAAAGAGCTTAGCTAAAGCAGTAATCCTAGCTAGTACAACTTAGCAATAAAAGCAGGAAGCCGCAGTGCTTTGGAATTCCGAGTGGAATGAATTTCAATCTACAACTCCTTGATTTAAACATTGAAATTAGAAATTCCAGATTTAAGATATTTTTTAATCCACGATAACTGAAGCTCTTCTGCATGAATAAATAGTAGTACTATTAAGCAAATACTTCCAAATTTCAGACTGAATGGTTATAACAAAATTGTGGTTTCTATTATCTTTTCAGTTTGATGCTAACGGCAATTAAACGGGATTTGGGTAAGTTTTGAACACCATCAGAAATTCACAATATATATTTATAAAATCAGGGCAAACGAATCTTTCTAGACCTTACAAATATATCTTTTATTCTTTATGTGTGGTCGTACATAATTATTATGGGATTTTCTGGAATGGACAGGGTGTCACGAAGGTTAGATACTTTCAAATGGTTTTTCTGGGAACTTTTACTAAATATCTAATATTTTAAATGTTCCTCTTTACTGACCCTTTTCTAAGAGATATTTCTTTGCATTATCTTTACAAGTATTTATGGTATTTCCCCCAAGCTCGCATATTGTCCATGGAACACACAAAATAAACTCGAAATGTATTTAAATAATTGATTATGAGATACTCCATTCCAATATCACAAATGTAGCCAATAATCCGCTCAGTCACAGTCACTGATAGTTTTGTGTAGATTGAGACAGGCTCCTCGAACACTGAGTTGTAGCTTACTCTTGCCTATCATCTCCACTCATTGATGATCCCATGATGGCGAATTCGCTGGCGACTGTTCATGGCAGAATATGAGAGCCAGAACCAGGTACACGGGCTGGGGCCGGGCAGCAGTGTCTTGCTGAAAAGACAGCCATCGCTGGAAGAAACATGAGCCAAATAAAAAGCCCATTTGCACACAAATTTACTTCCAAAATGCCTAAGATGCGCATCATTCAAACTGAATGGCCGTGCAAGTGGCATGGCCCGGGCAAGGGTACGGGCATGGGTACGGTAACTGGACACCGGATGCAGATAAATCTTTGGCCATTGCCGACCAGGTCCGACCAGAGAGCGAGTGCCTTGGAAGCAAGTGCGTTGTCAGGCCCAGCAGCAACCGACAGACAGACCGACAAACCGACAGACCGACCGCCTTCGCTGAGGTTGAAGCTCGATCGGAATCACGAGATAAGCGCGCTTGCCACAATCCCTGCACCCAGTCCACAGTCCACAGTCCACAGTCCCTGCCACTGCCACTGCGACAAACTTAATTGCGCCTATTCCTGCATTAATTGTACACACACGCGCGAAGCCACTGGCTTTAGCGATCCCCAGCCTGCTCCTGCCCCTCGGAATGTGTTAATTAAATATTTAAATTATTCGTACACCAAGCCCCCAATGGGATCCTTCATTGCTCGAATATCGCTGATGATGCCGGCACAGGCACAGCACGCACGAGGCGGCCCAATCCAGTCCGGAGACCCGCTCTTCCTGCCAGGATACACTTTTTTGTCTAGACTGTTTTGTGGTCAGCAGCGGCAGCAGCTGCTGCTGTGGAGCCTAAAGCTAACCCATGTACAGACCCTGAACACTCCCGGGGTTCGATCAGCGGCGATTTTTTATTTATTTTACTATTCAGAAAATGGCAACACGCGCGTCCTTTTGGGCAGAAGCCACAAAACAATTTTAATTTTATTTTTACACACATATAACTCCCGGAGCCAACTATTTATGGGCAACACAGGGAGGGGGGGTGTGCAGAGAATAGTGTCCTTGCCATGGAACAACTCAATTGAAATATAATAATTAAATGTACTTTCCTCTGGGACTGCCCTGCAAATTGTTCAGTTTTGTATTCCACTTTTCGGGGCTTTGAATTTGTGCCTGGCGGCGCCCCAACCATCAACCGGCAACCACCGACAATGCAACTGCAAAACGACGACAGGCAAGCAATAAACATGTTGGCCATCAATGCACATTTCTGCATAGATAAATTTCGAAAATGCTTACGATAGAGGCGGCTATTGGAGGTACAAATTAGAGCTGCGGGCACCAAAGCTCGGATCCGGCTGCAGCTTCATCACCAGGAGCATTCAGCCGTTTAAAAGCCAACCACACATACACGGGACTTGTGTCCATATGCGTGAGTGTGTGTGTGTGTGTGTGTGTGTGGGTTGCACAACCGCGGAAGTTGCAATGTCCACGAACGTACGTACGTATACCCGGGTGTAACCAGCGGCGGCGGAGGCAACTACCGCGGCCGCCCTGCAGCGCCAGCCAGCGCTCTAGAATGAGTTATAGAGCTTGTTGGCGATTTTATTGCCACAGCGCAGCCATAAAATATGGTAAATTATAGCGGTTTGTTGTTTTGGCCATTTTGTAGCCGAATAATGTTCTACGTGTGCGTCCTCAAGCCCCCAATAGACCTGTTCATGTTTCAGTACCGTCCCGGATTCGTTACACACGCCCACAACACAAATGTGGTCTTGTCAAATGGAAACGCGACAAGTCCCTCTGTTTCGCTAGCAAAAAAAAAGCAAAACAAATAACTGAACTGTACTGAACATAGACCGCTATTACTCGTACTGATAGCAGATGAAATATCTATCAGATATCGATCTGCAAATGGTAATTTCGTATGCAATAATTCTCTGAAATTATCAGAGCGACTCTAGGGAGAGTTATGCTTTCAGTTGGAATAATTTACATAATTTGCAACACTATCTTTAACACTTTATTTGTGCATATTGCAATCTGTTCTTGATCAAGCTGATGGCTATGTCCATAGTTTCTGGATATTGTCAGAACAATCATAAAAATCACAGGCGTTCCAAGCCTACTCCTAACTCAGGACAACTACATTTACCCATTGTAATTACATGTTTAGTGTCAAACAAAATATATTAAAAATATATATGGGCTCCCCAATAAATTATAAAGTGATGCAGGCCTGCTGCCCTTAAGCACTGACTATTCTCGCATGGCATTAAAAACGTTTTATTGCTCCTGACTTTTCAATTACATTGCACCCCCCAAATAGGCATCGCATCCGATGCTGCTGCTATCCGTGATGCAGCATAAGTAAAGTAGAATGAATCCCTTTTGCCACAGTGCAACGATGGGGCAATTGTGCGGAAAACCCCTAAACATGTTTCGGGTTAATTTAAAATGTGGCCCAGCCAGCGATTCGCACAGGACAAAGCCCGAAATTAATGTTGTCATTTTCCACTCGGCGCATAAAATAGCCAGCGAGGCGGCAGGAGCAGCCGACAAAAGTCCATGCTGCAGCCAGCATCGTCTCATAATGATCCGTGGTTTGGGGTTGGGGAACAGAACAGAACAGTTCCAGTTCCATTTGCAGCCCAGACTGTGACCATATGCATTTCCGAAAGAGTGCAATTGACTGCAGATGCTGCAGCCGTGATTCAAACAGCTAATTTCAAAATCACAAAATTTATCTAATTGTTCTCGCAGGTCCAGCCACACACGCAGCACTGCACTGAGGGTTTAAAGAGTTGACTCGACCCTTTACTCCCTTGCCTTTACCATCTGAAATATCAATGTGTAAGCCAGCAGGAATTTTCATAGTCGTTCCTTTGTCTTCACTCATCTAATTCTGTTCCAATTTTTCATGGCTCTCAGTTTCTCTTCTACCAACAACTTGTTTCATAATAAAGTTTTAAAATATATTTGAATTATGTGTCCCATACACATAGAAGCCATAGCATAGATATTTATGTTCATTTTGTCTGGTGTTCGTACCCCAATGTATCTCTAATTAATGGCAATGAACATGGGAGCGGTCGCATTCAGAGCATTTTTTTCCAAAGAAAGATTTAGGTATAGATACATTCAATCATGGAACTGATGTGTTTCCTCGTGTGTCACATGTATAAATGAAAATAATTAATCGTGAATGTCGAAATAATTATCGACCTTACCCAAGCCCTGCCCGAAAAAGCAGCTTAGCCAGAGAATTCCACGGATTCGGATAATTCGAAGCACTGTACTGCAGATTGACATTTGATCTTTTCATAAAATAAATAAATCTTGAGATTTTGACCTTCTACAAACGTTGGTCAATGAATGCCCGCACAGACCTCTAGGAAAAGATATTTTCATTAGCCATTGATTGCCAAAACAACTGCAAAAGGGAACCAACAGAATACCGACTTGTTGTGTTAATTAAACTTTATTTAATTTCAATTTTTGCATAGTTTGTTTATTTACACACATACTGTCTAGGGTCTAGGGGGTTTAAAAATGACTTCGAATATGGGTGCTGCTTAGTAATAAAGAATTAATGTGAATTAACTATGTGTGTTTGTATAGGTAATACCGCTGCTGATCGTTTATATATGTATTTATATGCATATATCACAGATACTCCATTTTGTCTACAATTGAATTATACGACTAAAGATATCATTCATTAATTATAAATTACTAATTCATGTTTGCACGTTTATGTATTTGGCCGACTATTACGTGTAAATATATCTTCAAAAGAGTTCAATTTAATGCTCGCACATACATACTTATGTACATAAATGTATAGGATTTGATATAGTTTGAATCTTATGCCTCAAGCATATCGTTGCCGCTTTATAGGACTTATACAACTTGAACGTTTACAATAGAGAGCTTAGACTTTAGGCTTAGGCTTAGGTAGCTGCCGTTTAGAGTTATCAAGTATTGTGGATTAAGCACTTAAGGTAGGAAGGAAGGAAGGAGCAAGTTATTTGTAAGACAAAAAGTTCGAGTGATTTATAACACGGCAATGTAGTAGTCGTAGTTCGGAGTTGTATTGAGTTGTGTTGTGATGCTGCCTGCCACCACACTGAAAAGATGAATGAGTTCGCCAGGCAGTTGGGGGGAGCTTTCATTCCTGTGGTGTGCTGTGCGTTTATTTCGAGTCATTAAACTCGCAACGGAGAACCGTTGATAATGACTCAAACCCAAACGGCATGACAAACACACACACACTATGGTGCTGCTGCTGCTGCTGCTGCTGCTGCCTCTGCTGTGTGTGTCGCTTGTCTCGAGCACACTTTGCCCGCCACCGCCCCCTTAATACGATGTGACTGACAGTGCGACGTGTGTCTGTGTGTCTGAGAAACTTCAGTGGGTTGAGGAGAGTGTGGCAGTGTGGCAGCGTGGCGGAGTGGCGGAGTGTAAATATGCTAATTAAAGTTATAAAGTGAAATAATTTATGATATGGTAGGAAATAAAGTTTTATTGCCATACTTAAGCTACATTTATTGCAAAATAATTAGTGTAGTAATCGCTATCGCTATCGCTATCGTTATTGTTGGCATCTCTGCGAACTCTTGCACTTGTCCGTGTTCGGGCCTGGCTGTGTGTGTGTGTGTGTGTGTGTGTGTTTGAAATGTCTAAGTAGTGGTATATGGTACTATTTGGTATCTGGTTCAAGGCCACTCCTGCATTAGCTTTCGCTTCCGCTTCCGCTGCCGCTGCCGCTCCTTCTGCCACATTATGATCCCGCACGACTCTCCGTTAGGTAGGCAGCGGCACTACTCATGTAAGGACTGTGCTCCGTGGCAGTGCCGTGGTGGCTATTGTACAAAATGTTGACCATGGAAGCCACCGTCACCGGTGCCGGACCGGGCGCGGAATGCATCGAAGAACTGTTGCTGCTGCTGGTGCTGCTGCTGATGCTGCTGCTGCTGATGTGATGGTGGCCCCCCAGCTTCATAGTGGGCGGCGTCTGGGGCGGCGTATCCGGCTGGATCTCGGAAAACCCCACACCCACTCTCGCCTGGCTGTTGGGCCCCGAGGGATGGTAGGGCTCGCGGTGCACCGTATGGATGTTGGGCGTGCTGGGGGTATGGGGAATCTTGCCGTGTCCGATATGCATGCCCATGGCCTCGGTGTACGCCGTAGGTATCCGCGAATATGGCGATGCGCCGGCGTAGCTGCTCATCATACTCAGCGGCGAACCGAGCTCGACTTGAGGCCCCCCCATCGTCATGCTGCTCGGCTGCATAACCAGGGACTGGGAGCCCACAGAGTGGAGTTGCTGCTGATGCTGCTGCAGATGCTGCTGCTGATGATGCTGCTCCGCGGTTGGCGCTTGGGGATAGAAATTCTGGCCGAGGTATGCCGTAGGCGGTGGCGTCTTGCAGGCGGCTGTGTCGGCCACACTCCAGATTTTCGGCTTGCTCGCCGGCACTGGTATGCCACAGTCTCTGCTTAGCGGGTTTTTTTGAGCCCCATATTCGCTGGTCTCATCCTGGCCATAGCCCGAATGATGATAGTATGGTGACGCCAACTGCTGCTGTTGAGGATGCTGCTGCTGCTGCTGCTGCTCCAAATGCTGCTCCAGATGCTGCTGCTGATGCTGCGAGTGTGCATAGGAATTGTAGGCCGCATGCATAGGCGGGGCAGCGTAGGGTGCGAGGCCACGCATTGCCACTAGATTCTGGGGAGGGAGCTCTCGCTCCCGGTCCCTGTCCCGCTCCATCTTTGGCTCGACATCCGGATCCTTTTCCGCTTTTCCTAGTTCGGATTTGATAAGTTGATTGCTGGGATCTGACGATTAGAGTTTGGAATGTGCAATGGGGAGACACAAAATAAATTTAATTAATTTCAAGTCTAAAGCGGAAGCAGACAAGTTCTTAGGCGGAGGACAGCAAAACTTGGCACTCGGAGGTAAAACTTGGCACAGGCAGCTGGCAAGAGGCAAAAACCCTTGAAATTGTTGGTGGGCGTTGATGCGTGCAACCCTCGCGACGTCCCAGACAGCCCCAGCACTGGCCCAACCCAGTCGCAGTCGCAGTCCCAGTCCCAGTCCCAGTCAGCGGAGAAAGCTTTCAGCAACAAAATACTCGAGTTCCGCCAACTACTCGAGCAACGTCCTACCTCCCGCCTCTCCTCTGCCCTTTGGAAGGTACGGGATGTGGCTGTGGATGGTCTGGAGAGAGACCTAGCAAGTCGCCAACTCGAACAAGGCCACTTGCTCGGAGAGCTGTACGGGCGCAAGGCCACTTTGCCAACAATGTGCTGTCAACTTCCGGGGAGGATGTCGCCTAAGCAGTCAGACAAATAAACGGACAAACGAACGGACAGACAGACAGACGGACAAGCGGACAAACGGACAGAGAGCAGACGAATACTCGCATTGCATAACATTCGTTTCGCCACATAAATTGTGCTTAAAAGCCCAGTGCCACACAAATCTGCAGTGGGGGCGGAACGGCGAACCGGCGGACCGGCGGACCCTCGGACAGGCGTTCAAATCAATGGGACGAGTAGATGGGCGGGAAGGAAGATCAAGGCACTGCTTGGAGGGATGGTAGGAGGTCAGGGAACTGCACTTACCAAAAACTTCAGCTGGCAGCTTGCCACCACCATCGATTGCATTGTCCTTGTTGTCCTTTTCATCATCGGACATCATTCCATCGTCATCGTCTTCGGTTTTGTTTTTCGGCTCCCACGTCATTTTGTTTTCCTTTTTCAGGCGACGTCGCGCATTCGCAAACCACGTCGACACCTGGGTCAGTGTCATCTTCGTGATGATGGCCAGCATAATCTTCTCCCCTTTGGTTGGGTAGGGATTCTTCTTGTGTTCACTGAGCCACGCCTTCAGCGTTGCTGTTGACTCTCGCGTGGCGTTCTTGCGGCGTGCGGCGAGATCATAGTTCGGGCCATACCTGCGCGACATTCAAATCAAATAGTAAACTTGGTCAATAAAGATCCCGATCATGGCCACTAATGGGTGTTTGCTTAAGGCAACAGTTTCGAAAAAAAAGGGTTACAATTGCAACGCCCCCCCCGGTGCTCTTCCGGAGCAGAGATACGAGAGTTATCAGCAGTCAGGAAATGGTACTTATAGAGGTACCAACACACCTTGTCAATAAGATAAGTCAGTCACCATTTGTGTGGCAGTTAAGTAAATGAAGACAAGATAGGAAGAGACTTTTCTGCGCTAAAATCTAGCATAAAACCATTTAAAAGGCAACCAAAACTGTCCTAAAATTATTATAAAACACTCACCCATAGGCAGCCAATGTGGGATCGTACGAATAGTAGCCCGTTGTGGATTGAAGTCCTGCCGCTGATGTCCAGGCATTCATTTCGGTGCTGGAATTGGCATCCTTAATGCCATAGGGATTGCTCTGCAAGTGAGATGAATGGAGAGGGAGCGGGGGATAAGCAATTAGATGGGACTGCATCAGGCACTCAAGCAGCGGCTGAGCTGACATTCGCTGAGCTTGTAACCCACTGACTGGAGCGTTGACTCTCATGCATTTGTCGCTTCGAGGTAATCACGGCAGCAGTTACAGGAGGCTAACGAGATACTTCGGATTGCCCGACAGCCGACATGACTACATGACAATATCTGCTCAGCCGTCGACTTGCATTTGGTCGGACTTCCAGCGACTGCACTGAGCCAATTAGTGGCTCTTCGGACTTACCAGAGGTGCGTAGAAGGCCGAATTGTCAACGCCAATGCTGGGATATGGGTTCTGTTCGTTGGATGGATATGGCCCGCCATAGACACCCACACCGCCGGAGGGCAATGCCATGCGGGAGTAGCCGCCAATTGCCAGACGCGCTGGATCGTACTGGCAGGAGCAGACGGTCTGCCCGGAAACGGGATCCGTGATGATTGGTCGTCCATTCTCGCAGCAGGACATGCCCTCGGATCGGCGGTCTTGCAGTTCCGCAGCTGGCACCACCACATCACTGCCTGCCGAAGCCGCCGCCGCCGCCGCAGCCGCTGCATCGGCCAGCGACGGAGAGGTGGAGATGAGTTTGGGAATCGCATTGTTGGACGACTGGGAGACAGCACCTGGACTGAGGGGCCCGGCGGTGAGGCCGGTTGTGGTCGAGCCCCCCGATGGACTCAGGGAAGCCTCATTGGTCCCGGACAGCGGTGATCCTCCGCCATGGCCGCTCTGGCTGTCGGTGTTAGCTGCCGCCAACTACAAAGAAAAGAAAAGAGCAGAAAAAAATACACTTTAGTAGAGACCGAAAGGGCTGCAGACTGGAATATATTTTGCCAAGCAAAAGGGGGATCTTAAAAACAGGTGAAGTTTTCGAGGTTGAAGACTAGGAGAGGAAGGAGGGCAGAGGAGGGTGTAAGGGAGCAAAGGAATCGGAGTCGCTTCGAGTGGTAAGCGCAAAGGCATGTCCCCTTTGCGCGGATCCAGGTCGAAATCAACAAAGCAGATTAAGATGATAACTCCAAATGTCAAAATATTTTATTGGCCTGGCGCATTTTGCGATCCGTTCCATCTATTTTCACTTCATTAATTTTCAATTTATCACAGTCAGATTTCAGATACAGCGCTGCTGCGAGAGTGGCCGAATGCTGAATGCTGAAGCTGCACATCGCACGAATCTTTGAAGAGGGTACACACATCCCCAACCCCTCGTATCCCATCCTATCCCGAGTATATCAGTGGACCGATCGATCGCGAGAACCGGCAAGGGCACGGGCATGGGCATGGGCATGGGCATGGACACGGGTACGGTCAGGCAGGGGTACGAGGCCTAAAGGGCAATCAAATGATGAGGGACGAGAGGTACGATACGCAGGTATGCGTTCCTCTCTTCCTCACGAACGATAACCGCAACGAATCATTGTCGGTCCGGAGGAGCAGGCAGAGACCAACAACAAACACGAGAATGAGTTCCTTTTGGCCACGGCAATAGACAGAAAACGACAGAGCGAAGCCACTGAGACGGACAGACGAAAGGCCGATAGCCCCCGACTTCCCCCGCCCGCCCGTTGTCTACATAAAGCCATTGGACATTGGTATCTATTCCAAAAACCTTGGCTTATGCTGGGAGTGGCACTCAAACCCCGGTACCCGTGATGATGATTGCCTGTCAAACCCGTGACAAATTCCCAATTTTCGCTTCACGCGCAACCCAAAATGTTGTTTGGGGGGGAGGGAGGATTATGACTTATGACAGTATCGGAATGGAATGATCATGTCAATGTCTCTCTCTCTCTCTCTGTATACTGCCCCTTTCTATTGTGCACCAAAGGTTCTGCGTGCCACCGTTTCTTGTCGCCCATTCCTATGGCTCTTTTGCCACCTACTTACGTGTGTTTTGGGTGCTGCTACCGACTACCGGACTGAAGTAAATTCCCCGTTGGCTGTATGATTTAAATAATAATAATGGTAATTCAAAGCTAAACGAGTGGACTGACTTTCAACACCTCCTGCGGGGCTATCTAATCGCAGGCCAATTTCGCGGCGGACGACTGCCCCCCAGTTAGAGTCTCCACAGGAACAGACATTATTGCATAACGAAGGTGTTTCATGAATGAAATCTAATGAATTCTGAATGAATGGATGGCCACTGGCCAAGACCAGGGGATGTCCAGTGCGGACTGGGGGCATTGGCTAAGGAGAATGCCAGCCAGGCAGCCAGTTAGCCAGTTAGCCAGATAGCCAGCAAGAACTGGCCCAGCAGTGACCCTTCCCCGTGCTGTCCCTTGCCTTTCCTCACACTGTCTCCTGTCTCCTGTCTCTCCTGCTAATGTACAAAACGCTGCGCGCGCTCATTTCTTATTATTCTTTATTTTTTATGCGATTCGAACATCAATTTCAGTTTTTGTGGCCGCCCATAAAAAACACATATCGGCAACGTCGACGACAACCTCCAAACGCGGCCGTGTGGCCATGTGGCCAGGGAGGGGGTACGGGGACGGGGATGGGTACGGGGACGCTGAACCGACGACTAAGGACGGTGTGCTGTGGTCCGGTCTGGTCCGAGTCGAGTCTCCAGCTACAGCTACAGCGCTTATTATCGGCACGCAAGTCAGTTTATTTTTAATGGTTACCACTCACCCACTCGGGACTCGCGACTCGGGACTGCAGTTCGGAAAGGCTGCAGGAAGTGCAGCGATGGGCGCTCTCCCTGGAGTTTATCGGAAGGTGATAGGATAGGATATGATAGAACAAGGACTGGCCATAGGATACGCAGCTCCCCAAAAACTTGAAGTTTCTATTTTGCGGAAGTGTCGAAACATGTTCCCCGAAACTCCCACCAAAAGTTGACTTAAAGTTTTGCTACTTTTTTATGACTTCTTCGTGTTTCTGCGGACGACAGTGTCAAGGTTCTTGAAGTTTACAAAAGTCTTTGGTCTTTCATTTTCGAATTTCACTTGACACTTTTGTGTGTGTTCACTCTTTAAGGTTATAAAACCATTGTTATTTATTCCTCAAAAAGGTGCTAATATCAGGCAATGCAAGCTGATGCTCTGCTCTGCTCATTCATGTCAGTTTGGGATGATAATGTGGTTGATAAATTCCCGCTAGCAAAAGGTAAATAAGATTCCGATAATAAAACGTGGCAGAGTTTTGGCACAAGTCAAACATAAAATGTAATAAAAATATGCAGGCGAAAAAGGAAAATAAAATCTCAATAGGCAGCAGGTCTGAGTTCCATTGAACCGGCATGGACATCTGCATCTGAAATCTGCCTTTGAAGTGCACAACCAAAAACGTAGCTCCTCTACGCTGCTGATGATGCTGGTGGCGCAGATGTGGCCACGCGGGCCACCCGCACCCACTCTGGCCAAGATGTTGCGGGGGGAAAACTGGTGCCGTCACTTTACGGTTATTAATTTTATGATTTATGCTAAAGCTCACGAAACCGCCTCCCGGCTGGCTATAGGTACCAGGTTGTGGTCCAGCTTCGGGTCCAACCTGCCAATGCTCATTTCGAGAAGGAGCAGGAGGAGCACTCACTCGCATGTGGAAAACAAAGGAGATCGCTGTACCATCGTTATGGTGGGGTACTAGTCGTAGCAGAAGTACAAGTGAATGTGGCTGATGCAGATGTGTGTTCATAATGCTTGTTGTGGTTATTGGGGCTGGCTGCCGTTTCGCTCTTGTTTGCTGCTACCGCTGGGGATGCGTTTATGGATTTTTGGTTTTTTGCACTCAGCCAGCAACTTGGGGGAAACAAAGGAGATTGCCTGCAACGGGAGGAGGCTGCTAGGGAGGGCGCTACAACCGCCGGTACAACGTCATCGCCAATGCCAAAACAATAAACGAAAAATATAAGGATGTGTGTAGACTCTGCACCCCCCTCTACACACACAAACATGTGTTTGTACGTAGCCTGGTCTGGTCTTTGGATTTGGCATATTCTCACATTCATCCACAGGATTGCGGCACTGCCAGGGCCCAAACGATGGCCCATACCGTATCCATGCCCATGCATCGAGAGAGACTGGAGAAGGTTCCTTGTGCGTTTGTGCTAATGCGAATAAGTCGCTTTGTATTTTTTTGCTGAAGTTCCTCTTATTGAATTGACTTTGGGTTCCAGTAGTAGCCTCGGAGTCGGGGGGGGGGAACAACTCTTTCTTCGACAAACGGCAACGGCAACGGCATCGGCAGTGGGTCTCAATGTTTGCATTAAAAATTCATAAATCAATTATGGAATGCACACGGCGAAATATTAGTTTTTTCTCGCATCATTTCGAACGATGGTCCAGCATAAAGGGAAGGCGGCGGCACGGCAGCCTACGCATGGAGCATGCAGCATGGAGGCAACCGGATTCAGGACATTGTCCGACCGAACGTCGCGACGGCTTCGGCTTCGGCTTCTCTTGCTCTGCGCTTTTTTGCAGCCGTAGAATTTGAGTTATTTTGCCATGAAATGCGTGAACAGCTCACATGGGAAGTTGGGAATTCTGAGTGCTCCTCATACGCAGTCACTTGCCACTGAACGAACGAACAACAACAACACACACTGAAAACTGTCAACTGCCACAGAGGGAAGTGGCACTGGCAGTGGCAGTGGCACTAACCAGCCGTTGATTAAATTCATATATTGCATGCGTCAATGTTTTTTTTTTGTTGTTGTTTTGCCTCATATTTGGAATGCCGTCTTGGCGTTGAAATTAAAATTAAATTAATGAATTCGAGTTCTTATTTGTAAGGCACTCTCCAATCCAGTCCTCTGCCTGCCTGCCAGCCTGTGTACTGCATAAATCTTGAGGCATATCAATTTGATACAGAATCATTACTGGCGGAGTCAACTTTGGGCTTTCTGGCTTTGTCTGATAGTCATCCAAAGCATGGAGTCCAATCCTTATCCTTAATTTGGCTTAAGAATACACACATATTTAAATGGTTTAAAGACACCCAAAAGATGTCTAAATGTTAGAGGCTTTTAATCGATCCGAGTGCACTTTGCACATGTCTTTGCATTCATAATTAAAGTCGATAATCTCTGAGCGCCGTTCATTATTTTAATGATTGTAATTCAGCAAGTTTAGCATATTATAATAAATGGCCCTACCCCAAGCCAACCCAACCCATTCAAGTTTCATTATCTTAATGCCTTTAATATGTAGATATAATGGACGGACACACACAAAGTCCAAGGGACGGACACGGACCTAAGGATAAATGTAATATAACCTCATAAGTCTAACATTGACGCACTACTCGTAGTCGTAGTCGTTGTACAAGCCAAAACCGAAAGCCAGGGCACAGCCATTGAAAGGTTTTTGTACGGGTATGCATGTAGGTCTATCCCCTCTACTCCCTTGCAAAACCTCAGCCAACTAATTTGAATTACTGGGCCCCAGCTCCAGCTTCGTACGCGGGTAATTATGACCAGACCAGACCAGACCAGACCCTCCAGACGATGCACCGCAAATGCCCAAGGGAGCTCCAAAGGCACGAAGACTGCAGCCAGTCAAGGCGACGGTGACGGCTGTCCCAAACTGTGAAACATTTCTTTGCGGCGGCCATTATGGATCCCAGAGACAGAGAGTGTCCAACCGGTGCCAAAGTGCTTGAATATTCATGTGCCCCCCTCCAACCCATGTGCTGCCCAGCTGCCACTTGCCACCAGCTTAAAATGTTTATGAATGTCTTAGCCAGAGATAGCCATCCACCTACAATTATTATTAAAGATTTTCGAGTCTCTAGCTAATGTTTGAGTAGAAATATTTATTGATAGATGGAGGCACATGTTACCATGTCTCATAAAATAATATTTAACACAGCTCTACAGATAAATTATTGAATTTATTAGTGACACAAATCAAAATGCGAAAACTGTGACAAATATTAGCCAACACATTCCGGCCTGATCTTTCCTCTACTTTTCGTTGAGATTCCTCCTAAATGTTGTTCAAAACAACTCAATTGATTTTACTAGCTAAACATCCCCCCAAATATTGATATTAAACATCAAAGAATCAATCGAATTGCGACAGGGTGTGGTGTGAGTCTCAATCTAATTTGATAATCTCAATGACACGGTGCTTTGGCTTCACTAACCTGATTTGCCGTCGGGTAACCGCTGTATCCAAACTGCGCATATGCAGCCATTGTCGTCGGTGGCGTCTTCCTCCGAGTCGATGATGTGGATGCGGAGGAGGACGTGACGTGCCTCGCTGTGGGGCGCCGTCCCGGGTTCGCGGCAAGGATGCGGATGCGGATGTGGATGCTGCTTCTGATTCTGTTTCTGTTCGCAATACACTTGACAAGGGGTTGGGTTGGGTTGAGTTCGGTTCGGTTCGGTTCGACACTGAACTGGCAAGGATGATGGCGGGTTGGGGGTGGCTGATTCGTACAGAGAGGAGGCCCGATGGAGGTGGTTGGCTTCCCCGTGCGTGCTCGACTGTGGGCCGCGGCTAAGCACTTTGGGCGCTTTTGTTGTTTGTTGGTTTGTTGGATGCTGCGCTCTTTTGTTGTTGTTGTTGTTGTTGCTGTGTGTTGGCCTTGTTGAAAATTGATAAAACAAATTGTCGATGTCGAGCAGTTCTGCTAATGTCGCCGGAGCCGGAAAATGTTTTGTTTGTTTTGTGTGACTTTGCGCTTTATTCGTTTACTTTTTGCTTTTTTATTGACACTGACTGTGACTCTGTGGCTCCGACTCTTTCGCGGGACTCTCCCTCTGTCTGTGTCGGTGTCTGTCAGCCGGCCAGATCCTCGTATAGTCGCTTCAAGTGTTTGCCACAAACAGATTTTCTGACTTATCGCCTCTGAAGTACACATGTACCGTGCGCCGGAGGATGGGTCTGGTCTGTGTACTTCAAAAAGACTGCCTGTCGGCAAATCTTCCACAAACAGTTCCGCGTTCGTTCCCCCAGTCCTCGAATGTTTGCTCCTTGGCCACAAGTAAAGGTAGGGTCTGGGTCTGCCGTCTGCCGCCTGCCGCCTGCCTCTCCTGGCCTGTGTTAATTTTGTTGTATTAATATTTTAATGCACTTTGAAGCTACAGTTCGTTTCCAGCTATTGCACGCACTTTATCAAGCATGTCCGACACGATAGCTCTGCGGGAAAACGAGTTTCACAACCTGTCAGTGGGCTCCTCTCGAGACGGAGGACTACAACGCCTGCTGACACTGCTGACAGCGGGAGCTGCTAGCTGGCTGGCTGGCTGGCTGGTTGGCTCACTGGCTGGCAACTCGTTTCGCTTTTTCAGTTCTCAGAGTTTTCTGGGTGTTGTGTTTCGGGTTTTTCGGTTTTTCGGAGCGATGCGCACTTATTCACGTTCGAACACGAACTGTTCGTTGGCACTGCCAACCGGCCGCGTGAACGAGACGAGAGCCACACCGGCGAGGGAGCGGGATGGCAACTGTGCCCAGGCAGAGCACGAGAGCAGGCGAACGACAGCAGGCAGCGTCCGATTGGCCAACATTCCAATAAGACAGGGAGGCATAACACATCCGCCGTCTCTCTCGTGCACACGGCCAAGCGGTGTGACCTTCTCTTTGGTGGTGGGCACGCCCTCCTCCCCAAACTGGAAGTGCCTTTCGTCGAGCCAGAGAGCTCCGAGCAGCTGTGTGTTTCCCCTCTCATGCCACTGGAAGCGATTTCATGGCGGACCGACCACGATCGAAAGGCTTCCTTCCCAATCGGACACTGCGGCTGCCAGCCTCGTGGCCAGAGGCCCACATATGGCTGCCTTTTCTGATGCCGATTCTGATGTTGAAGGCAATACAATAATTGGAAAAACAACTATCGAAAATAACTGAGAGACTTCAACAAAATCCAGAGCAAGGCAGCCCAAGTTGATTTAATTATAAATACAAACCTAATGCATTCATTTGGGATATATTTTTAGAGAGTTATCTAATCCATAAGTTCTACTACTTCTATCAGTGTTGCATCAAACACTAAACTAAAATCCACCTACAGATTGCTATCCAAGCCACAGTATCTGAAGTATTTGAGTTTCCTAATTGGCACTGGCTAATGCTCTTCATACCCACCATACCCATCCATAAGTACCCTTTGTAATAAGAAACCAAAAATGAAAAAAACAAACAAACAATCCGATTCCAGTCTGAAGTCCGGGGCGTTGCTCGGCTCGAAGGAAAGTCCTCCACTTGGGATAGGTTCTAATTAATGGCACGCAGAGCAGCGGACCAGGAAGGAGGGAGAGAACAATTTTGAGGAATTTTTGTAAAATGAGATATTTGATGTTTTGGGGTGTTAACGCGCCGCCATTCATTATAGGAATGTGAACGTGGAGGGATCGCACATGTTTCCTTGCGATGCACTCGTAAGTGGCAGCACGGAGTCGGAGGCAATGTGTCATTTGCATCTCGGGATGGCCTGGCTGGCCTGGCTGCTCTTGACGGCGCCACGAAACCCAACACTTGCTGAAGTACTGGGGAGTAGCCATCAGCCATCAGTCCGTGAGTGGAGTTAACCCTTGGGTGAGTGCTTGGCATTGCATTACAGGGATTGTAGCCTTTAAATTAATATGGGAATGATATGGGAACTGTTGCACATGTGCATGCACCACACATCATCATACACACCTGTGTGGCACAAACACTCATTCATATTCCTATTCGTATTTGCTTGAACAAATTCTTACTGGACCGGACATGCAGATTATATTGAAAACAATTTAAATGTAGATTTTCGGCACTGCGAGAGATATTTGCTCCTTGACACCAGATGGGATGTGAGTCGGTTCGACAGGCAGGCAGGCAGAACCCCTTACGAATTCAGCTGCTAATGCACGTTGCAGGCACTCTGTGTGTGTGTGTGTGTGTGTGTGGGGGGCGTGGGCCAGGTGGAAGAATCCACGCACGAGAGTGTTGCAGGCAACCCCCCTAGCTGCCCCCAGACTGCTGCCTCCTTAAGTGTTGTTTCATGTCACCTGGAAAGCATTTGGACATGAAATTGTCGCTTTTCAGCATGTGGCACACACACACACACACAGCCAGAGAGACAGACAGACAGTCAGACAGCCTGCCTCAACTCTCGTGTTTGGGTAGAGGCTGCGAAAAATCTTCTTGAAATTGAAGGCACACACCAGAGCACACACTGGGAGCGGGAGAAAGACTGTACTCCTCGTAAATATAATAAAATCCTTTTGGAAACAATAAACGATAAAGTCACCGGAACAAGCAGCTCGGCAAAAGGACTCTGTGCAAATTGCTTTAAATGAATTTGTTTGTGTTTGTCTTTGTCTCTGCCTCTGTCCTCTGTCTCCAAGGGGAGTCTCTCTCAACACTAAAGATTTTGTTACAAATTGCAATAATCCTCATGCATTGCACACACTTTGTGACCAGCTCAAACTCCATTTTGGCTGCAAGTTCCCAACCAAAAAGTAGACACCTTGGGGGGACTCCAACAACGACTCTCCAACTCGGTGCACCAATCATTGTGCGGCGTTATCAGTCGACAGAGATATCGTATCGGCACCTGGCATCTTATCGACCACTCGAAAATGAAATTGCTGCTCAAACAGAACAAAAGCGCGCGCACACACACACAACACGACAACACATTTCTGTTCTACCCAAACATTCATAAATGGAAACATAGTTATTTACTCACTTTTCAAAACAAATCAACAAATCAACAAATCGGTGCCCTTTGTGGTTCAAGTGCCGTTTACGTTCCATCAAAGCCCTAGTCGGTGCGGCAGTCTATGCTAGACTAGGGACAGGGCAACCGATCCCGGACTGGAACTGCGACTGCGACTGCGACTGCGGACTGCCCCGACCTGGAGGCGACCCTTTCCTCTGAATTCTTTGCGCGTGCGTTCCCCTTTGGCGGCATTTTGACATCCCGCAGTCACGATTGATTGTCGCACCAATTGACGTGATTTCTGTTTTCCAATTGGTTTTCGGAACTCACGTATCGACAGATACTCCGCTCACTTTTCACTACTTCTGGTATCTAGTTATTATCGGTGTCGGCGGGACTCACACTCGCACGCGTGATGGCTCTGGGGTCTGGTCTGGTCTGGTCTGGGGGGATTTGGGCATGACAATTAGAAGTATAGTAGATGCTTTGTATGGACAGCTGCCGTTGGCATGCGTCACGAATCTGCCCCTTAGCGCATGTGGCATGTCGGTATGTGTCAACTGGATTGGGGCTTCAAGCGTGAGCATAGAGCAGCGATCGTTCAGCAACACTTTTGCAGTGATTTTAGGCCAAAAACTCCACAATTTTGACACTAACGAAACAAAAAGGCATTTTAGAAACCATATTCTGAAAGGTTCTCCGGCGAATAAACAATCCACAACATTGAATAGCTATGTAGCCGCCAGATTGTGGATCAATTATTGGGTATTTTCGTAGCTTCAATCTATTTAGGTCTGCCCTACGATCCACATAAGGATACGCCACACACAGCTAAAAGAATGAAGACAGATTAGAGCCAAATATGCGGGAATACCAAAGTCATTCTTGAGCATTCAACAAACGTGAATGGTGAAAAGTCTCTGTTTAAAAGTATTAACTTTTACGAATACTTGTGAGCTCATTAACATTCAAATAACAACAGAACAAATTGCAAATTTCTACTTAAAGTACAGTATCCTGCCTGCTGCAGTGTCCTGCCTCCTCCTGCCTGCTGCAGCATCCTTTCTCCTGCAATTGACTGCCTCTGCGCTGCATCCCTTGTTGTATTTGTGCTTTGGCCTGCACACAGAAACTTTTTATTAGCTCCTTCATGGCAGAATGTTTTGGAAACTTTTGTCTCTCCTGAGACAAGAGATGTGTTCTGCAGTTTAACATTTTACCTGCACATCAGACAATTACAATTTAGTTCAAGGGTTTAAGCTCTACCCTAAAAATAGTGATGCTTAAAACTAGCAAACAAATGCACAAAAAAGTTTAAATAAATACATTTTCTTGTTTAGAGGAGGAACAACCAAGCCCCAAAGTTACTTTTAGCATTTGTTTTTTTTTTGTCTATTTTATTCTGCATTAATAGCTGAAAACCTCCGCATCCAAATGCTCGTAAAATTAGGCACTGCAAAAAGCAAACAAATCATTCCTTCATCTGGCACTGCTTTGCCCGTCTACTAATTAACATTTTCCTGTGCCACACAATCCCCGCAGACTGCAGACTT